GTAACCAAAGTAGCATTGGTTGGTTTAGTTTTGACGTAATGTTCATCCTAGTGTTTTAGCACTATAGTTTTTTTTAAACCCTCGTGTTTTTTAACAAAAATCTCATCCTGCTTTCTTTAAACAGTTAAATGTACCACTCATCGAGAAACAAACCCTGTATTTTACATGTTCTACACCTATACTCCAAGGCAGCAGTTTTACACATTAGAAAAAACAATATGGAAATAATTCATTTTCAGGCTGATGGTCTGTTGCTTTTGTAGCTCAAAAATATGCATTAATATTAGTTACAGTATGTTTCATAACCAGCTAAAAACTCCTCACAGAAGCTTTAAATATTGGACATCAAACCCTCTAAAGAGCTTTGGGCTTGTATGGCTTTATCAGATAGCGAGCAGGAAACAACATGTTGGAAAGCCACAGGTTGGACTTGAATCGGGATAACTTAGGACAACAGCCTATGTACATGGGACGCACAAAGAAACTGTTCAGCCTGGCATCCCACAAGATATCACTTTATGCAGATGGTGTTATACTCATGTAGGCTATGTGTACTCTGCAATTAATCTTGAATTTTCTGGGGCGGTGATAGCCTAGTGGTTACATTGCATGCCCCATGTACGGGGGCTATAGTCCTCATCGCAGCAGCCATGGGTTCGAATCTGACCTTGGCCCCTTTGCCGCCTGTCCTCCCAACATTTCCTGTCTCTCTTCAGCTATCCTATCCAATTAAGGCAAAAAGGCCCCAAAAATAACTTTAAAAAAAAACATGATTTTTTTTTCTGATGCATATTGTACACAAGATGTATATTTCCAGTTTGTGCTGCCTTTTGGATGATTATTTTATCCACAAATCACAAGGTAAAAATGGGTGGAAAAAGAAAAAACTTTAGAAGTACGGGAGTACATTTACAACAAACGAGAAACAGAATTATAGTACATAAAGAGGGAAAATAACATGCAAGACTTCATAAATAAGTCACTCACCTGGGTCAGATCAAAGTTCTCCTGAGTGGTGAAGAGAGGTTCGGGGAGTACAGGGAGTCCTTGAAGGGTCCATGTCCACCCCAAGACCAGGAGGGAAACCAAAGTCACCGCTTGCTGCATCCTGTCAGCCTGTCTGTCCTATCGTCTGTGAGAGAATTCAAGTCGGAGACACTGAAAACAAAAAACGCTTCACCTTCTTTGCTAATTTTTCTTACTCCCCTAGTGGACGGGACATTGACCTATGTTTTGTGTGCAGTAGCCCCCGCACTCACTCACACAGCCAAGCAAAAAACAAACAAGTTAAAGAGCAAAGTTCTTCTTCTCTCTCTCCATTTGAGCTCTGACTAGCCTCGGCAGTTGACCAATTAAACATTGGACTTTTTGCAACATCATCAAATCAATAAGACAAACAAGTAAACACTGCATGATCTTGTGTGTATGTTATTTCCAGTTTGCATTATTGTTTTTGCCAGAGGAGACTTTATTTGAGAAGTTATACTCAGGTCTAGTCAAGACTTCATATGTTTTTGTTTTTTTGTGTAGGACCCTAGGTGAGGACAGTAGCATTGTTTGGAGAAGTGGCTCTTTAAGGGTAGTATTAGGCTAGTGCAAACCTAGCTCTACCAAAAATGGACCAAAAGATTTTGAACAATGTCACTTAAATTCTGCTGCTTGACTGGGAAATTAATACAAATTAAACATCAGCCATAGAAAAGGTCCAGATTTTGCAATCATTACTGGTCCACAGACGTCTGGTGACTATTAGTATTTTTGATTAAACTATGCATTATCCCTTAAATCGCACATACAGTACTGTCAACACATTGTCCACTTGTAAGTAGTCTGTGAGTCATCTATGATTCAGGAGTTTCTGTTGTAACTTGTTTTATTAGTTACAAATAATAGTTATGTGACCAACATAAGATTAACACTATTTTGTGAAAGGACAGTTGTCCTGCAAAAGCGTTGGGCAACCTACCCTGGAAGTGTAATGTATTTTTTTTCTTAGTACTCTAATGAAAATCTATAATCAAACTATACTTAAAGGCAGGGTGGGTCATTTTCAAAAAACAAGCATGATTTTGATAGCATTCCTTCAGTGTTCTGTCTACACCAACTCTCTCCCCTCTGTGCTCCCTGAAAAGCCACGCCCCTCACTTACAGACCTCAACTCATCGCTTGCATTGTGTAGAAACTACGTCTCTCTCAAAAAACGGGACTATTTTACTACTCACAGGACTATTTTACGACAAACTCACAGTATAAACTCCGCCATTTGAGTGTGGGCGAGTGCACGCAATGGGTAGAGAACGAGCTGAGAGACAAGGACGCATGATTGGTTCATCAGATTGGTACCTCGTGGCAGACATTGGTCAAAGTTTTTACAGGCTTACAACTGATACAGATGACGTATTTTCTTTGTTCCTTTTTTCAGAGCACATAAATTATTAATTTCTGTCAGGACCTAAAGACAATTTCAACCAAAATCTTAAAAAGTGTTTCTGGAGAAAATGAGCAACCCTGCCTTTAAGCTTTGACTTTCAATCAAGAGTTTAATTACAATAATCTTTTCATGAGGCAACAGGATTACCTCTTGAACCCCAAACTCTCTGTTGCTGTGTTAAGTAAACTCATCATAACACTCTCTGGCTCATCCTCCATCATTGGTTTAGCATATTGGCAAGTTGCCCACTTGACTTGCCCCCATCTGTCACTCATATAGTCCTACAATTGATTCAATTTGACCATGAACCAAAAAACTAATGTTTTCAGGCGATGCATTGATGCAGTCTTACTTTGCTAATACCTGCACTGTAATTAGCCTATGCTGTTACATTTTCTGTTTTTAGGAAGTGTTACACTTATTGTGCTACTCATTTCTGTGGAAGGATAATGATATTACAGTTAAGTTACTGCCCCAGCCTGTCCTAGAATCACAGACTCTCATTTAGTGAGCTAATCCATTAACACAATTACACAGACACTGAGCCCAGAACACCAGACAGCTCCTCTTATCACTAATCTCTTGTTGTTGGCCTTGTGTTATGTAGAGAGCAAATCTTTTGGTTGAACAAACTGATCCGAATCACGCTTCAGAAATGATCAGTTCTTCACAGTTCAGTGTAACTCTCAGTTGCAAAGTAATACACAGGGACTCAGTCATTGTGTCACAGGTGGAACAGCGATGTGGCTGGCTGAACCTGAGACTGACTCAGTTTTGTTTATTGTAAGGGAGTCGTTCATGTTCAGAGATTCGTTCACTTAACGCACAACAGTGAACGTGAGCCCTGACAGAGAAATCCTCTCACTATTGAGAAAAACCTTTTGTAAAACTTAATGCCAAAAAACTACGTTTACTCTCTACATTTAAAAAACAATGTTGCTGTTTAAGACAACAAAACAACGTATAGCCTTTATTTTCAATTTATTTAAAGACAAAATCTCCTTCCCGATTTAAAGTGTAGAAATATTTACATACTTCAATGTTTGGTTTAGAAACAAGTTTTCAACGACATTAACTCAAAGAAACCTCAAACATAATCTAGGAAAACATAAAACAAATGCACAATCGTTATTTCTAAGAGACAGTTTTGCAGATAAATCATGTTTAATGAAGACAGACAGTTTTTTTTTTTTTTTTTTACATTAGCCCGATGTTACTATCATGTAAAAAGCAAAACAACATTTTCTTTTAGTTAATAGTTTTGAAAATTAGGCCTATCTTTAGAAATCTTAAGTGCCCACTATCTCACCTGCTTCTTAATGTCCGTCTCTTCTCGGTTCTCACTGGAAATGAACTGATCGTTAAGCTGTGTGTAAATTCACGCTAAATGAGACTAAGCAGGTGAAACTCCGGTCACGGACTGAACGACTCCCTGAACAAATCTTTTGAACGAATCTATTTATTTGACTACGAATCCCAATTATTCAACTCTAAGGCCCTACTTGAAAAAAACAACAACCTTACCGTTGTAGCCACAAGTCACTGATGTTTATTCATTAAAAAGCATCTTCAATTCTGCATTTCAAGTAGAACCTACCCACATCATTTGAGGTTAAGATAATAATTGTAAAAAGATAACAAAGACATTTCCTTAAAACTATATAAAATTAGGCGAAATATGAGGGAAGCTAAATTGATTTTTCATTAAAGCGATACAGCACTAATTGGTAAATGCTGTAGGTCACTGTGAATTGTGTTTTACTCTACTTTTTTTTATTTCTATCTTTCTTTCATATTCAGTTTATTTTATGCTGACAAATAAAAGGTTCTGTATGGACAACCACCTCCGGCTGGACAAAGATACATCTCGAGGTGAATCGCTAAACCAAGAAAACATTCAGATTAATAACACAAAGTGCTTTTGGAATGAGATAAATAAGCTGGGGCCCAAACATCATGAGAAAATATGGAAATATGGCAAGGACAGGAATTATCCTCAGACAGGTAAAAGGTGCTTTTGAGTGGGAAAAGGGATTCTCTAGTCTTTTCTCAGGAAATTATGCAAGTTTTGATGAAAATGATATTAGATGTGATGTGATGTGCACATGAGAGATTTAAAGAATCAGCACTATAGTAATGAATTATATAGGGAACTGAATGAAGATGGTAATGAAGAAGTATATAACAAGGTGCTGAAATCACCTACATTATTTGATGTTTTCCATGTGTTATTTAAACATTGTTTTGACCAGTGTTTTACTTTCCATCTGGATTAAAGGAGCAATATGTAATTCTGACACCTAGCATTCAAAACCGGTACAGCAGTCCAAATTCAAAACATTGGAGAGAGCCATCTCCGGCCCCCGCCCCCTCCTCCCGAGTGGATGCAGGTTGCCAATTCCCGGACACTGTTTAGCCAGCTCTCGGTCTTGAAACCTTTCTGCGTTATGACCTCTCTCCATTTTTCAAGAGCATCTCCAATATATATCCTAATTTGACCTCGTTTCTGTTAGTGGAGCTTATTAAAAAGATAGTTTCTGTATGTTCCCTTAAAGCTCCAACACAAACATAAACACAGAATCAATTTAATAGAGAGTGAAGAACCTGAATACCAATTATTTTGACCAAAAAAAGTCTGTCAAGCATGAACAAATGCCTATATGAAACAGGGACTTACAGGCCTATGTATACAGAATTGCCATGCAAAGTCAATGTTGACAACACAGTGTTGCATTAATTAACCCATAAGAAGATGTTTCTGACAATGCATTTATAGAATGATGACACAATAGTGTTTCATGTGTTTTGGGTGTGATGTTCCTCCTCTTCAGTATTCAACTGGAGCTCTCCCCCTGAAATATGAAATAAACATTTATCCAAGTGTTCAAATTAAATACAGCACATGTTGTATGTTTTCTTTTGACGTTTGCATTCACGGAATAGCATGATTTTATGCCTGTCTAAGCAAATGAAAAAAACGCTTTTGTGTTTTTGTAAACGACAAAGATTCCCTGATGGAGGCATGGACCAGGACCTACAGTGTCACATGCCTTGACTGACTATTGCATTCTTTAATCTGATTTCCTTTCACTGGGTACTGAAAAACTCTGAATGAATTGAAAAAAATATATGAATGAAATATATGAATATGAATCTCTGAACAAATCAGAGCTGGGGTTTGAATGCAAACGTTGATTCAGCACGTCACAGTGTGAGGCAAATACCTGAGATTGAGCTGGGGTGGGTTTTGTCACCTGCTCACCTGGAACACACTCACCTGGGAAGACAGTAAGATGAAGTATGAAATGAGAAAGACATTTGTGTCCCTGTGTTTAGGAAGCCAAAGGATGTCATTCAAGTATCATACAGTTTTCATACTTTAATAAATGCAGGCTCACACAATAATAGATTGATTGTGTTGAACCTTTGCTTTTCCTCTATATGTTTGTGTCTGTGCTTGCACCTTTGCTCTGATTTATGATGATATTGTCGTCACTCATTCCGTGATGTCTGACCAGCGTTTTGAAGTTTTCCATCACATCGGAACCCATGTTCATAGTTCGACCTGAAGACAAAATACCAATGAAAACCAAAAACACGTAAGCAAATAAACTGATGAACTCAGGAATTTGTCACTCACTGTAAAGCTTGGCTTTGATGGTTTGAATCCCCGATGGTTTCTCTGTGCTAAGCTGAAGCATCATTGCAAAACCATCATAGTTTGTATGAACCACAAAAGAATCCACATCTGCCCCAAATCCTGCAGGTAAAGAAGAGTTTAAATGAATTTGCATGGTCCAGCTCTATTTTTTTTTTCATTCATAAAAGTATGTTGATGCCGTATTAAAGATTAAAAAACATACTTGCAAAATGATGGAAGAACCTTCCAGGAGTGTCGGTCACACTAAAATGTGTAGTTGTCTGCTTACATGAACCATTCCTACACACACGCAAACACAACACAAGTTACATTCAATCATTTTCTACCTGCAAGTCTACAAGAATGCAAGCAAGTCTGACCGCAAACTAGTGGATGTCATGGTGAAGTTGCCTACTGTGGCAATTTGTTGCAGCTCCATTGCAACTATGGCAGGGTTTCCCCTCTTGTGCTCCATATAGTGAGGACAGGTAGAAACAACTGCTACCTCAAACCACCTCCCCATGAACTGCAAGGACAACAACATGTTAACTGTTTTTCATTTTCATGTTGATCTCAGAAACTGTAATACAATCTAAAATTAATTTAGAGTATTTCAGAACAATATACTGACTGATAAAAGGCCAAGTTGTCACATGAATAATAAAGGTAGCCTAAGGGGAAAGGAAGAACTTAGTCTCAAGAAATTTGACAGACAGTTGTCATAATAAGCTGTTTTTAATAGACTCACCCTGTCAACATCGAAGCTCTCCTGTGTGGTGACAAGAGGTTCTGAGTGCACAGGGATGGCTTTCAGGGTCCAGGCCAACCCCAGGACCAGCAGAGACACCAGACTCACCACACTCAGCATCCTGTCAGCCACTGAGGCTAAACTGACATAGACTACATCCACCCTCCCACAACACCACACTAAAAGAGCAAAGGTCTACATTTGCCTTTGTCAGTTGTTCTGTGTCACTTGGTGTGTGTGTGTGTGTGTGTGTGTGTGTGTGTGTGGCTGCACTAAATGTGTCCATGTGATTGTGTGTGTGAGCGTGTGTTATTTTGCAATGAATCACTGGACTTTAGAATCTGAGGTTAAAACAAACAACCAATCGATACATGTAAGAATTTAACAGCTGATAATTAGTAGGGAAAGGGCTGAATGGCTTTCTGCATCAGTCAACATGATTGATGTGATTTTACTCTACATTAAGTGGCTTAACCGCATTTCTAACAGAATCTAGATCATCATATGCTCTTTACACAAGTTAGCTTTAGCATTAGCAAGCTGAATGAGGTCTGGTTCACAGCAGAAACATAGGTGTGTAGAATCTGCTCCCTGGTGGTCATAGATATGTACTACAACACTAACATTGTACATTACATGGCAAAAAATAAAGATCATAAAAAAACAAACAAACGTGAATATGCATTCTGTATTGACCCCGTGTGGAGGTACGTTTGGATTAATCCCAAAATAACAACCTATTTGAGGAGTTTAATACAAATACTTTATATCGTTTTTAAAGTTATTTATCAGATACCACAGTAAAACAATCTTTATTGTTTTGGTCATTCAGGAAGAAAAGCAATGTAATAATGTAAAAAGCCAACAGAAAAGAGGATTATGAATGCATTGTACATAGGAAATATTCTCTGATGGTGATCTTTTTAGCCACATTTGTTGTTTGAGAGTTTCTTTGTAGAATTTCATCGTAAACGCTGGAAAAAGTGGACAGGAAAATACAGAGCAGGAACCACCTCATCTCAGGTACACAGGAGAACCTACGAGGTGTAGCAAAAACAAGTTTTCATAAAGATTTGTGTGTGTTGGTGGTGAGTAGGGAGTTTAAAAATCCTCAAATAATGTATTTTTCCCCATCATTTTGAAATGAGGAAACAACAAAGACTCACAGTTCATCCAGAGCCTGAAAGTGGACAATTTTCTGGAAGAAAAAAAAAAACGTCTTAGTATCTTTACACATGTGTGTATATGGCAGTGGCAGGAACACATATCTAAACATATGATGTGTACTGTAGATGTATTTGCAGATATATTCATGTGTTGCTGCCTCCTTACCTGCAGGAGGCGGAGTCAGAATAGATGCTGCTGTGAAACCCTGGGACAAGGCGAAGGCTTTAAACTTTGAATGATATTATGTCTGACAGTACTAGAGCGACCTGCGGACACACAGACAGACAGAGCAGAGATTAAAGCAGTCACTCGTCAGCTAAGTCGTCACGTGAAACTTCAGTTTGAAGTGTGTGTGGTTCTTACCGTAGAGCGCAACCTGTGTGTACTCTCTGTTAAAGACTTTGTGTTTGAGGACCAGAGCGTAGTCGGTGTAGTTTGTGTCCACTACTGTGATGTCCTTCACCATGTTGTGGCCTGACAGACAACAAACGTACAGCTATTCATTTACTTAACCAGAGACAGGGAGAATGAATGAATAGAAATGCATGTGAGTGACAGTGATTCTGTATAATTCAATGTGTTCATTTACAGCTCAAGGTGGATGCCTTCACTTAACACAGGAAAAACGTGTAAGGCAAAAATGAAGACAATTTTAAACATGAGGGACTTTATGTAGAAGATGAAATTTGATGCAGTATTTCAGTGTCATCTATTATAATAGCCAAACATGAACTGAACGAAAAAATACATCCCAATAAAATATCTCCACTGTTTAGTTTATTCTCTGATTTATTTATACATATATTTATCATTTCTCCTGCTGTAGTTTTGCTTATGTGTCATTTTTTTTAATCTCCTTGTTTTTGAGCTCATTACTCAAACGTTTGAATATAAACCTCTGTTAATATGAACTGTACATTTGATACAAGGAAATCATCTTAAAAAGAATAGAGTATAATAAAGAAAACCAAATCAGATCCAGTACTATGTATAGGACTTGTAAATATAATCCTAACATGAGGCAAAGAGCTGTTCACTTTTTCTCTTAGAAATACTTAATGAATGAATTTACACACACACACACACACTTTAAAACACAAATACAGGACTTATAAATCCAGCAAACTGTCATGCTAGTATTTAACCTTTGTAAAAAATGTTTAAATGTTACATTTATTACGACAACATTATTCATATTAATATTTCAACTTAAAATAAAGACATTGAACTTCACACAAATGTACACTCTTTACTCTGTATATTCAGGACACTCAGGATCTGAGGCTATCATTGGTTCAGGTTTAGTGCCATGTCCTACACACCCTCCAATCACATAATCACATAATCATATCAGTCATGGCTCATTAGATGTTAGCGAGACTCACGTGTGCTGAAGTATGAGAACTGTCCAGGTGTGTTGGTCTTCTCATACTGGTACACCTGCCTCAGACATCCCACAGGTCTGAAGCACACAGAGGAAACACAGTCTGTCTCTACCTCTCTTTTGGCTCTCACTTTACACTCTGCATAATAACTAATGTAGTACTCACGTGGCGTCCCACATTGTCAGGTTGACGTTGCCGTTGGGCAGAGGTGTGATCAGGCCCATGGAGGCCTTCACTTTATCTCTGAGGGGAATAAATTTAGGAGAGTCATAGGCCAGGCCAACCCGGTACCACCTCCCTGCAAACTGTACAAACACAAGAAATTAGGTTTATGGACTTCTTTTGACGACTAAACACGCTTTATGCAGGTCACTGATGAAATAAAACGTTTCACAAGTTGGGGACACATTGGTCACATTTTTAAGGATACAGCTGGCAATGTTGTATATTTGTTCTCATAGTCAACACATCCCAGGAAATATCTAAACCAGCTATATCTTTTTCTCATTCCAATGCCTAATTGTTCCTACTGTAAACATAAAGCTTCATATTGAGTTTACCTTACAAAGAAGAGGCTTATTTATGTCCTAAAACAGATGGAAGTGTATGTTTTAGCTAAGTTAACTTAAACAGGAGTAAAAAAAACATTTGGAGACTATTTTCAGCTGCAGATTGTGTGCTGGTGTGTGTTTCAGGAAACATTGAGGGTTTTGTTGGATTGACTTGAAATATACAGTGGACATGTTGATTTTAATGAAGAAACATGTGACCCTGTGTTTAAGTGTAGCTCATTTATGTGTGTTTATTTATTTTACACTTGGACCAAAATAGAGCTGTAAGACAAAAAGGAACAGGGTCATATACTCACTTTTTTAAACTTTTCAAGAGACTTGTCATTAAATCACTTTAAAAAAATATTTGTTATCTCTTAGTGTACCATGTGCTCATATTACTGTTTTTATGTGAATACAAGTATTTTCATAGTCTATACTTGTTTTAGTGTCTTATTTTTAGTCCATATTGTCACACTGTTTCTAACCACAGCACTTCCTCATATATTTACAAAGATCCTTTAAGACACTGACATCATGGAGGGGGAAGGAAAGGTTATATTATGTTGGAACATGCTGACCTCATAATAATAGTGTACATACATTTTGTCTTAAAAAAGCTATTAGTGTTTCTTTTAGTGTTTCGCATTCTGCTGCTTTATATTGTAATCTGTGGATAAAGATAGAGAGAAAACAGAGGAAATCATAGACCTCGTTTTGTTGTTGTCTATTTTTCCACATAAACCTGTGCCAGATGAGCAACAAATTGATTTATGATAAACCTGAAACAATCCTGATCTGATCAATTTGATTGGCCCTCAAATCTGCAACAAGAAAGGAATGAGGCTCTTCCTTTTGAGAGAGTTGTATGTCGTATTTACCCTGGGACGTGTCACGGTGACCCACATCCTGGAGAACAAGGATCCACTTATTTATTAATCATAACAGTTTGTGTTAAGGCGAGACACTCAATCCGCATTTCTTTTGCTTTGGGTCATGTACGCAGCGGACACTGTTGTCACACAAACACAACACATAAACACACAAATATAGAACCACGCACACAGTCTTACTCATATAGTGAGACACACTCACATATGGAAATACACCAACATCTACAAACACACACACACACACACACACACACACACACACACACACACACACACACACACACACACACACACACACACACACACACACACACACACACACACACACACACACACACACACACACACACACACACAGAGAACACAGAGTTCCCTAAAAAATTTAGTCACTTAATAGCCAATATTGATTTAACAGCCAAAAGTCACTATGATTTAAATTCATTCACACAAACATAAAACTCAAAGTGTGTGTGTGTGTCTGTCTGTTACCCGCTGCAGGCTGAAATCTCTCTGTGGCTTCACATCAGCGTGCACCATCACCCCGCACATCACCATGACAACAGCAACCACAGAGGTCCTCATGTCTGTGTGCAGAAAAAGGAAAAGCTGGTTGGACCTGAAAAGGTGTAGCGAGGGTATCTGACACGAGCCTCAAGTGAACCAAAGGCAGCTCACACACACAGGTACAGAGTGGCAAAGCACTGTGGCAATGTTTGCTCTGCGAGCTGATCCACCCACCTGGTCGTCAGCCAATCATCTTCAGGGAGCAAGGAACAGTGGGTAAGTGTTTGAAGATGTGTTTCCAAAACAAGCCCCGACTGGACTTAAACTTCCCATGTGCGGGAATAAATGGTGCCTGTGGTTTCTGAGCATCAGCTGAAGCTCATGTGGAGAACACACGAGCATGGTTTCACAAGACTTTGCCTGGTTTCATGAGACTTTGTCACACATTTAAAGAAACACCAAGGCGACGCTTAAAGGGGTTACGCCTAATCCTGTTGTTCATGTTTTCCATGCTGTATCTATGTACAAATACAAGTAAAAGGTTCTACATGAAGAAGTTATCTCAAAAGTTCAAAAGCAACAAAATGCACTTGAAGTTTGACATTAAACGTTTGCATTCATGTTTTCAAAAGTCCTTTGAGGAGTTTTTAAACATGGTTATGAGACAGTCTTAAATGACTGCTGAAGCCTCTGAATGGCTGACAACATCAAACCAGAGCATATATAGATGGAACATTTCTCTCTCTGTCCATTTTAATGTCTGAACCCTCTGCTGCTGCAGGATAGGTGTCAGGCTGTCTCTGCAGCATGCAGTTAATCACTAATTCAAATTGAACTGAATTATTTCAAATCTGTGCTGCTGTACAGTACTTTTCCACCACTGTTTACGGCATCATGTTTGGCTTAAATTCAGGTTTGAGAAGGCAAGTTTGCACAACTACAGAATGAAATGCAAACTCTTGTTGTCACTCATGTTATGACAAGAAGAACCAGTAATTCCTTTCTTTAAAAGTTAAGTCGTTATCAAAGTCTCATTAGGGAAAGTCTTTTCCCTTGATAGCCTCACTGCTCGTCTTTTGATCAGATGAGTAAATGTTAAGTTATCACAAACATTCACAAACAAGATCATGGTTTAAAGTAAAATAAAACAATATATGTCAGTATTCATTAAGCCGAGTAGGTTGACATGACTGAAATGAATGCTGTTGCTAAAAATTTGAAGAATAATCTGATAAACAGACAGATGGATGTTGAACGTGTGTTTGGAGGGAGACGTGTTTGCTGAAAGAAAGAACTCATGGTTGAGTTCCCTGGAAGTGTTGAAGGTGTAATTTGATTGCTGACAGGCCCACATCACAGTGCATGTAAGATTTTTTTCTTGAACATAAAACTGCAGCTGCATTGACAATGCTAGATGTGCAAGTCTTCCTTCTACCCCCGGATTCCGAGTAAATCATTAACATGTATTTGAAAACTAAAGGGACAAGTTAAAACAAGTTCAAATCCGACTGCATGTGAGTTAAATACTACTTCTGTTGTTCAACGGCCCCTCGTACTTTTATCTAATGTTCGCCTTAAGAAGATTTTTGGGATTTTTAGAATTGATCATAAAAGAAGTAATGCTCTGAGGCATGAGTTTTGTTACAGGAAACGTCCCAGTGTGACCCGAAGAGAACTGCTTGACCTAATCTGCTTTTACTGATAAAAAAACAAGAGTTTATAGGAGGGGGGTGGGTAAAAAAAAAAGAAAAGTTTTTGCAATATTCCCAACACATGTAATGATTTTAATGGCATAAAAAAGTAATTATCTGTGCACAGCTACAATGTGGTATGGTCATGTAGCATCAGAAACACACGTCCAATCAATCCCAGAGGAACGTAAAAGGTGCTCTCAGTGTGACCATGAAGAGCTGGAAAATGAAATGCACCTTTCTTTTGATTGTCAAGTCTTGTCAGCTCTTATAGTACTCAGCTTTTCTTGCAAAGTGTCTGAAGATTGTCCACATTTGTGTTTAGTATGTTTAGCAGCCTACTCCTAAGTGTTTCAGGTAGCTTAGTTTGTGTTAAACATCTTCCAACAGCACAGGAGGACGCTTAATGTTTAAGTTATAAACAAGTGCTGATGTTGTAATATCTCAGGAGCATGACTGTGCAAATATTTGGTTTACCATTGTTTGTCATGTACCACAATCAGTGAGGATTCTGGAGTATGGGGGGGGGGGGACCCTCCAACCAGCATTCATCACCATTTCTTTCTAGTTTATTTTTCTCTCCTGTAGACAGATTATTCCTCTACATTTTTCTTTTTGTTCACTTTCATTGACACACTTTGGTTATCACACCGATAATGCATGCACAGTTAGCAGAGCAACAAAAGTGAGTGCTGTAATTGCTAAATTTGAACAATTTGAGCCTCTGCTTTGGTTTAAGTTGCTGAGCCCTCAGGTGACCCTTACTAGTCTGGGGCCCCAAGCAGTTGCCTGTTGACAAACAGCGCCTCTGACCACAACGTATGATTTTATTTTCATTCAAAATGTACTTGCCCATGTCGATGATGTTTTCTAGGGTCTTGTAAGACCACCTGTGCAGGGAACCCTTTCTGTGAAGGACACGTTGAAAAAAGGAACCAGAACATCTTCCAGTATTACTAGTACGTATCTGGTTGATCAAAAACACAGCAGTCAGGCGTTAATCTGCTCCATCACAGAGAAGCGGCGCAACAATCAGAGCCTGAGTGAGCAATTTAAATAGTTTTTATTAATAATGATTCTTTGCAGCACTGCATTTATCTCATTCTTTTGAAATGCACGACGTATACAGCGAGCCTTCAGTGGACAAGAGGGCATCAGTGTGTGCACACCTCACAGACCTCCCCTAAACACTCTGCAAGAGCTGAATGCTGCCGCCTGTGCAACGAGACCATTAAATTAAATAGAAATAATAATAATAATTAAAAAAAAACAACAACCTTTCACTCACATAGGCAGACGTGTACAAACTTGTTGCCTTCTCTAGCACTGCTGGATGTTCCTGAGGAGCATGGCAGGGAAAAAACCGACAAACAAAAATTGCACACAAAAAAAAGCAGAACTGTTGATCAGAGGCATGAAGGACAGTCAGAGACAGAAATGTGAGAAAGCATAATTGTTTAGCCAGGGCGCCTGATATGTGCCTGGTGTGCAATGACAGCTGTATAATCTGAGCTAGACATTTAAGGTGACATTCTTGTTTTTGTCTTTTTCCTGCAGAGATAACTGTGAAACATATGATAGAAAATTTAATTTTCAACAATAAATTCCAATCCACAGTTCTTCCAATTCTACCCATTAGGTCCAGAGACTGCTTGATAAATGATGGTATATGTATATATATGTGGCATTCTGACTTTCTGAAGAACTGTTGCTGAGGTCACAGCGCCCCCCTTTGGTCAAACAAATGTCTCAAAAATATCAACACAGTCCTGAAGAAACTGACATGTTTTTCATGGCATCTGCTGCGTTTAGTTTTGCCATCTATTTTTGGTAACATGTAAACCACCTCCACCATGTACAACAGCATGATCTAGAAAATGTTGCTCTCTGGCTGGTTCCTAGTGCCTTCTTTTTTTCTTTTTTTTTTTAAAGAACCCACCCCCCCCCCCAAAAAAACACATTGCCATTCGATTGTCTTACACTCATGCATGTATCCCCCCCTTTTAAACCAAAAATCACAAAGCTATGAATCCAGACAAAAAAACAAAAAAAACAAAGCAAACATATTCAGCAGTGAAACACACAAAGCATAATTAACAGTTCTTTCAAAAATAATAATTTAAACCCATTTAAAAAAAAAAAAAAAAAGAGTAAAATGGAAACATCTTTTTCAGAGTGCTCTGCTGTGCAGCTGTTCAGACAGGGGTCAGCGAGTGAAACCCTTGGGCTCAAAGCATCATACCAGCCAGACTGTTCCCTTAGATACACATGTAACGTTACAACATCATCATCATCATCATTGGTCACTCATTTTGTTTCTTCAGACACTCATGGGGAACATTTCACACTCATCATTAAAGAATGAATACAAAGTGAGAGAGACTTTTTGAACTAAAACCATAGAGGAAGCAGCCATGAATTTCCTTTTCTATCAAACGTCAATTTTTTTCGACCGTCTGCACTCTTCAGTGCAGAGTACGAATCATGCATTTTGACCCTGCTGAGAATCATTCTGCAGGAAACAAAGCAGCCTAAGCATCGCCACAAGGGGGAAAGAAATAAACATGTAAATGAATGCGTCCTCTCAATACAGCCAGTCTTCATATAACCCGTTACACAATGTAAGCAACAGTCAGACTGGCTGTGTTGAGGCGACTGAGAAAGAGGTCAAAGAAGAGAAGTCACAGGGGGGGAATGGCAGACTATACAAGACACATATCAGTAAAAGGTTGTTGTTTATAGAGTGTTTAGTTGGAGATTTTGTGTCACCAGGTGGATGAAAGAAACATCCATCAGGCCACAAATCAAACTCCAATTGGGAAAAGAATGGATCTACAGTTTGTACCATTATCAGAATGAAGCAGACAGGGCGTGATTGAGCAGAGACAGTGAGGATGAAACGAAGGTCTTGAAGAGAGGGCGATCTGTGGACAAAGAAGAGGTTAGACATGATGAATCAGAACGACACGAGTGCTTGGCAGAGTGAAAAAAGGCTTCACATAAAAAGGTGCTGAGCGAATAGGAACTTTACTGACGACAACCAAAGAGACAACGCGTGACTGAAAAGACGGTGAAAGACAAATCATGGTTAGAGTAAGGAAGAGGGGAAGACAGACTGATTTAAAAAAAACAAAAAAACATCTAACCTCTTCTTGCACCTGGCTGGACAGCCATAGATTCTTAAAAGAGGATTTTCAGAATTAGACAGACTTCTTGGACAGGGAACTTGTAAGCGACAGAGCAGATTACAGTAGGTTGAAATAAAGGAAATGAGTGAAGTTGAGTCAGACATAAGGGACCCTTTGAGAGACTATTTTGGTGGCCAGGGCCTGTGAGTCTGGGAGCTGAACTCACAGTAAGGCACAGTGCTCTGCTTGTGGTTGGTGATGCTCATTCATGCTGCTATACAACCTCTGACGACGACAGACAGAAAAAAAATAACAAAACATACATGACAAAGCATATTTTCTCTTCTTCTACTTTTCTTCACACACGTCTCCACTCCCGCCTTTGTATCTTTGGATCTTTCGGCTCACTTGAAAACCCTCTTTAGCACCAGAAGATTGATGGAAACACAGGTCTTTGTCTATCAGGAGGATTTGGTGCGTCTCTGTCTTCGTCCAGGTTGTCTTCTTCTTCTTCTTCTTTTTGTGTTTCAGGGGAAAAAAATGCACACATCCTAAGATAGGTGTCTTTTTAGGGACAAAACCTGCAGATTGAATGTCAGCTCAGTGTGTGAAAATGTCCTGTGTCTGTGAAAAAAACAAACAAAAAAAACCTGGATGTATTTAGCCCAGGGTTGAACCAATCAGATCACTTGACTTTGTGTTCCAGCAGCTGATATAAAATGTGCACTGCAGCTTCTTTTAAGAAGTGCTTCTGGTGGATGCATCTGGATAAACATAAAGCAAAAACAACTCGATAGTCAAAAGAGAAAGCTTTCACAACATCATAAATCACTAAGAGTTTCATATTTCCTTAAATATGTAAACAGACACTACTACAACTTAAATATATTTGGTGTGATGCAGACATATTTAAATGAGAAGCTTTTGTTTTATATCAGCGCTCATGTGGTGCCGCTGATTATTGCACTGTCTTACGCTGGAGCACTATTGCACTTCTGTGAATCTTTCAGCTTCAACCACTGGTCTAATTGAAATCCCTCACAACCTTTACCTTGTTCCCTTTTTGGGGGAAAAAAAAACACTTAAAAAGTAATGTTAACCTCAGACACAGACAGGAGAGTGTCACTGCTGGCTAACAGTGCAGGTGGAGTCCACGGCGGAGGCTGCAGTCTTTCACACAACAATCTTCCTGATAAATCAAAGAACCGAGAGAAGCCTCGGCCCCTCTGCTGTCCCAAACACTTTTTTGTGCTGAATCCATGCTCGTCCTCAGCACACTTGCGAGTCTGTGGTTATCTGTCTTTTTTTTTTTTCTTTTTTTTTTTTGCATTCTTTACGCCAGGCAGCCCTGTACACCACCTGGGTGGTTGTTCGAGGCCGGTGTGTGCGGGGGGGGGGAGGAGATTGTGTGGCTATGAAGTGTTGGAGTTCAAGTTACCAAACAGACCAGGTGAGTGACTCTCTCTGTGTTTGCTGAGGTAGCGAGAGGAGTTGCCAAGGGGGGACATCAGGCGGGACGGACGGAGTGGTGCTGTGTGTGTGTGTGTGTGTGTGTGTGTGTGTGTGTGTGTGTGTGTGGCGTGCATAAGTCTGATTTGAGAGATTTTAAAGAGCGACGTGGTTCTATGAGTATAATGTGTAGTTGTGATTGTAGGTTTATAAATGTTTGTTAATGTGTTGGCATTTGGAGTGTATGTATGGCTATTACTTTGTATGCATTCATGTTTATCGGGACATGGTCCTTCATTGCTGGTCATCCAGTATTGTCTTCTTTTCTGTATCTGTTTGAATAAGTGTGTGTGTGTCTGGGTGTTTTTTTCTTTTCTTTTCTTTTTTTTTTTTTTTAACATGTAGTGTTCAGCCTGGTCATCACAATTTATGTTTCCCTGTCAGTATGGAGCGGTAAAGCTCCTCGTCCAGCTGAGCATAGCGCCCTCTGCTGGAATCCAGGAAGTACAGTCTGTCAGACACTGCAGTGGGATCAAAGCTGTCCCGGCGCAAGTCCGTCTTCTGAAACTTAAACGTTCCTGAGAGAGAGAGAGAGACAGACAGAGAGATCATTTTAAGCTTTTTAATTTGTCTAACAGCACATTTTGCTTTCATTGACTATCTCAGTGCAATACATGTTTAATGTAGAAGTCCTTCAAGACACATAGATCAGAAATAAGTAATATTATAAATCTGCATGTTATATTGTTTCCTTTTACCATTTGGCTATTAAAAGAACATGTCACCTGTCTTGTTGACCTCTGGCAGGAAGCGGAGGAATACTGGTCTTGCATACGGAGGCAGAGCCTTTTCCATATCCTTCACAAACTTCTCCAGGTCGGTGGAGTGAGAAGGATCAGCGATGGCTGCCATTCCAGCCTTTCCCTCAGCTCCTGTGCACACAAAACAGAGACTTTGAACATCAGGGAGATGCTCAAGAGAAGCCAGGACCACCAGTATGTCTTTACAAAGTATCTCACTTACACAGTTGCTTGTTTCTACACATCACTGATTGTATTTATCTCGATAGTTTTTTGTCTAACTTGGCTCCTTAGCAACATAAATGTCCTCTTGGAATATCTGATCTAAATGAATAAATAAATAAATAAGTAATCTTAACAAATCACAGCAGCTTGGAAGTAGAACCTGCGATTTTTCCTCCACTACAGCATGATATTCATGATATTATTTGTGATGACATTACAACACAATATTTGATTCAGCTCTCCGTTCATACACATATTAAATGATTCTAATGACAGAATTAGGCAGCTGGCATTTTACGTCGTGCCAACTCTTGCACAGCTCAAAACAAAATGACACACGTTAAGGATTGACCAATCAGCAACCTTCAGGGCTGAGAAATATAGTCAACGGAAATGCCAACAGCCTGGTCCAAACAACTGTTTAGGCTCTCTTAGGCTATCTGGACATAACTCATATGTTTACATTATATTATAAGGCCTAAAGTTATGCATAATAAAAGGGACATATATGACAGATGGGGGCCTAGAGCTGTCTGCTTTCATCTTCAGTCACTGAAATCTGGCCATGTACAGTATGTGTTGATGGTGCCTCATGGGGGTTTTCATGCAAATATCAGACAAACAATGTAAATGTAAATAATGCAAAGCTCACTGAGCGGTTTATCATATTGACATGCCAAACAAGAAGTCTTTACTTCATTTTTTATAGGGAATGAAAATTTAGTTTCATGTTATTAATGAGGCTTTTTCCTACAGAGAATAACTGAGAAGATTTCTTGTTTGAAGTGATGCAGTTCTGTTGTACTGTTTGAATTGTCTGTATGTGTGTTTAAAAGTAAAAAGTATAATACAAATATTTTTTGAAAAAAAAAAAAAAAAAAAAAAGAGTCTCATAGTGAAGAAAACTCTGTCAGGCTCATTCTGCTGCTAATAAATGAGCCATGAGTGTTGACTGTTTAGCTTCAACAACTTGGCTTTTGTTGACCCCTCGCTCCTCTCCAGTGCCTCCCTCTCTTTCAAATACTAGCAACCTTCTGGCTCCAGACAACCAACACGGCCACGGCAAGAACCCCAAATTTGAGCCTTCAAAAGGTCGTTCCCCGACAAAATTGGCGACGTCTTGGTAGCTAAGGTCCGTTGGTCTAGACTTTAAGTAAGAACACATATTCCTGCATGTATATTAACAGACTTTACCTGGTACTTCAACGCCATACACCACCACATCTTTCATGTCCAGCAGCCTGCTGAGAGTCCCCTCCACCTCGGTCGTCGAGACGTTCTCTCCTTTCCAGCGGAAAGTGTCTCCGGTGCGGTCCTTGAAGAACATGCTGCCGCAATCGTCCATGATCAGCACATCACCTGGTGAGAGGGAGGATCATGTAAATGTATGTAATCAGCATGATTACATGATACTGCGTATATCATTTTATGTATGTAAAATGTTTTTTTCACACAGCACTCCAAACAACAGCGCTGCTTGGAAGTCTTCGTATTCACAGTTAAATCAAAGAGCAGAGAAGAACATACTGGCGATCAGAAAACATAATGAAGTCGTTATATTACATTCATGAAGGTCACAACGATCACGTAAAGGTTGCGGGATATAAACACCATCACCCCGTCCCGCTGTCTCGCAGTGAACGTTCCTGAATAATCTCTACATCTCCTAACTGCTCACCCTGACTTCAAGGGCACATTTTCAGGAGTTGTGTACAAGTGTGAAAGAGGCATAAATGACTCGTACCAGAGAGATAGGCAGTGTCTCCTTTCTTGAAGACATTATGGGCAATCTTCTTGCTGGTTGCTGATTGGTTGACGTAGCCATCAAACCTCCGAAGAGGGTCATTCTGAATGATTCTGCCGACAAGCTGGCCGGGCTCGCCTACAGAGAGAGAGAGAGAGAGAGAGAGAGAGAGAGAGAGAGAGAGAGAGAGAGAGAGAGAGAGAGACATAGAGCAGAGAAGAGTTTCTGAATTAAACTGCAGTTTATGTGGAGTAAAATGAGCAGTTTCAAACTCAGGTTGGATTGTTTAAGCTTCATCCAGTTGTATTTGCAAAGGTTCATGTTTGTCCTAAATACAACCCTTAAGTCGTTTACACAAGGTTCAGCAATCATTTCACTTTAAATGATCACTTTAATCATCACTTGTCACTTTTCTTGTCATTCTCTTCAAATACTGTTTCAATTCTCAATTCCCCCCAGTTAACTTCATCATTCATTTTGTACTGTATATACTCCCTGTTTTTATTTTTATTTATCTTATCTATTCTGTTTAATGTGTATTTTGAGCTTTCTTGTCTGTGCTGCTGTAACGCCCGAATTTCCCCTCTGGGCATCAATAAAGTACTATCCTATCCTATCCTATTTTTTTTAAGCGAGACGGTTAACCTATAAGCTGAGTGTGATACAAACTTACTGAAACATTTGAAGTTCAAATTTCAGAATACAAGAAAAACAAGCAGTACTACAATCATCACTACTTTGCAGTCAGTTTAGATTATTGGTTTCTGATAGATGTCGAGTTTCCCTTTCAATATATTCATGTGAAGCAAGCTAAACATCTGATTTTGACATTCCTAAAAGTACAGACTCAAGCTTTATTTTACTGATGATCAAACATGCAATGTACAATCTTTGAACAGCTGTGTGTACTCCTGAGTCGGTTTCTGTTTGAACTTCAGTCTTTTCAACTTCAAACTTGGTGGGAGGTAATATGTGTTAGCACAGAAATGGACGTCTTGTCGCTACTTTTTCTTTCTTTTCACTGCATTCACCCGTCCTCTTTGGTTTGGATGTGCGTGTTTCTCGATTGTTGTACGGGGTAACCTGTGTGGACATTGAACGTACCGGGTTTACACGGAATACAGACACCGTCGGGTCCCCGAATGAGCTCCATGGTCTCCTCATCGACCCTCACCAGTCTGATCGGGTAGATGAAAGGCAGAATCTGACTGTTGAAGCCACATGCTCCAACCTAGACCACAAAAAATATAAACAACAACAACAAAGCTGTCAGTGTTGAAACGAAAGGCAGCCAAAAGCTGCAGTGCTGCAATAATGACAAGAAGCTACCCAAACTGAGAAAACAGCATCTTTTCAGATTAACAGAAGACGCTATATGAAGAAGAGCGACATAAGAAAAGCCGTTAAACATTATGTCAAACTATTTTAGATGAAACCACTTGAGTGGGTAGTGGGAGTCTTCAATATTCCAGTAGAGGGAGTTTCACCATAATGATGCTGATTTGCCAGCGCAGATCAACAAAGGTAATTTAGTACGACAAAGTATTAAAAGCCTGTTCGGGCAACATCATCACTTTGTTGCAGAACACGTTCCCCACCTTGTTATCAAAGTTGCCCAGGCTGCAGTTGCACTCTGTGGCTCCGTAGAACTCTGCGATCTGGGGGATGTTAAAGCGGTTCATGAACTCCTCCCATATGGATTGCCGCAGACCGTTGCCCAGGGCCATGCGCACCCGGTGCTGCCTCTCCGTGTCCCTAATGGGCTGGTTCAACAGGTACCTGCAGATCTCTCCGATGTACTGCACAATCTGGAGGAGAGCGGAGCAACGCAGTCAAGACGGGGAGATAAGAACAGACAGAATATTCAGTGATTACCAAACTTATAATAATATAAAAGAGGGATTCAAAGACACCAATGTTGACATCTTTCCACCACACAGTGAGATTGTGATGCGCTACTCTGCAGTGTCTCGTAATCTACATTATACTCACAGTGCAGTTGTATTTGAAGCAGTCGTCCCAGAATCGTGAAGCTGAGAACTTCTTTCTGATGACTACAGTCATGCCGTGTATTAAACACTGGCCCACTCCCACAATGTTACCTGTAGACAAAGAAATATGAGCTGTAAGGGTGAACGAATAAGAGCTTCTACATGGAGCCATATAATTCAACTCTTTGGATGTTGTTTCAATTTAAAAAGGCGTGAAGGGAGCAGCTGGACTTTCTGACATAAAAATGCATATTGTATCGACACTGTATCTTTAAACATCCCCCCCCCCCAAAAGAAATCCTTACACAGTTATAGTTTTACCTGCAGAGTGGTAGAGCGGAAGGCAATCATACAACACATCATCAGATGTCATCCTAAAGCCATAGTATACCAAGGCTGCCATGCGGTAGTACCTGAAAAAACCAGGAAGGGAGTGAGGCAGGGCGAGGGAAGAGAGTTCAAGAAGTAATTCAAACAAGACAAACAAGTTGGATGTTTTTTCTCTTCCATTCTCATCAAACAGGATTAATATTAAACATGAAAGCTGCACGGATATATATATATATAAAAAAGAGAGCAGCAGCTGCAAGTCCTAGTTTGCTACAGGGTTCTTTCCTACCTGCTGTGCACAACGATAGCAGCTTTAGGCATCCCAGTGGTGCCCGACGTGTAGATGTAGAACAGGCGATCTGAAAGAGAAAGCCGAGTGACAGTCAGATAACATTCACATCAAGGAATAAAGTGCTTCGACTGATTTGAGCACTTTTATGAGTACCGAAATTGTTTCATATTAGTTTGTAATTTTTCGTCTTTTAACTTTCAACCCCCACTAAACAGGAAATGCACTCTCTGGCTTTGATATACAAAAAAGGGAACTGGATCACAAACTTACGTACAAACTCTTTAACAGTTCACTGAGTTGTTTAGCTGTGTGGGTGCCAATGTTTGCTGACTGAGTGGTGCTAAGTGTACTCATTCTGATTGAACTCAGCACAACATGCTGCCTGTGTATTAAAACATCTCTAATCACTAAAATGTTTTGGGAAGACAGGACCAGCAAGACCAGCAGGACCAGCAAGACCAGCAGGACCAGCAAGACCAGCAGGACCAGCAAGATTCAAAAAACATAATTAATCCCAGAAGGGCAAATTAGTTTACAGCCTTCCAACAGAAACAACAGACTAACATAGTCAACAGCTGCATGTCAGTAACAAGAGATTCTCTGTGAGGAGCAAATCAGAAAGAATTACAAACCACAACTCGGATTACATAATAAATTGCTAGCCTCAACGTGGCAGTATTATGGCATCAGTCGGGATTAACAGAGATATAAATGTGTAAAGATCATTGAAGATCACAGCTTTTATTGCTGCCACACTCCGCTTGGCTGTCAGTGATCACATGTACTGTTCCAGAGCTAAAGTGGAAGAAGGACTCGAACCATCGTTCTGAAAACTGGCCGACCCTTTTATCTTTTATTTATTCAACTGCTTTCTTTTACTAGGAATCATTTTGATTGAGATACAAAGTCTAAGGAAGTCTTTGAATCAAATGATAATACGCTCAATAATGGAATCAATAACATCCACACTGAGGCTGTACTCATAGAGGGCGATAAATACGTCCAGATAATGAGGCCTTAGAGGCCATTTTTTGACTGTAGGCTTTGTTAATGAAATCTATGACTTCATGACTTGATTATTAATGCTGTGCATTAAATTGGTTCCCCTCCTCGACCGATGCACTGCATCATAGGTTGCCTTAGAAACAAGCAGCCCTCTGGTGATGAGTCATCAGTAATTACTAATAACAGTGACTGTGTACGAGCAGAGACACTTTGGTCAAAAAAATCAGTTCATTCATTTAGCTCAAGAGCACAATAAACATCATACATGTGTCTGCCTCTGTGTTTATTTGTCGATATTTTTGCTGCATCTAAAACAATCCTATTTGAAGCATCAACACTGAGTGTGTTTTAGAAAACCAGCAGCTGTAGACAGATAAACAGATGAAAAACAAGAAATTAAGATATATGACTCTTGACATTTCTATTTTCCCTCTGAGTGATAGGATTTAATTGTGAGTCGGTGCCTCGCTCTGACAGTATTTCTCACCACTTGTCAGCTGCTCTGCGCTGTCAGACTAACAGCGAATGCAAACAAAGGACTTTCTAAATCGGTTCTGTCGGTTTGAGTGACTCCCGAAACTTTGGTAGCAGAATTATGATAACAGCCAGCACAAAAAAAAAAACCTTGAAATGAGTTTTGACTCTCAAATGCATCTGTAAAATGTTTTTTTTCTTTGTTGTTGAATGAACTTCTTTGAACTCTGATCTCCTTTCCTGTGAAGTGGTGTTATGCGCTGATTCTCACCGGTGAAGCAGCGCTGTGGACGGCTTGGCAGATGAGACGGGGCACTGTCCAGCAGGGGCTCCAGGCACTCGGTCCCCTGTGGGACTCGTTTGGGGTCCAAGTCACCACAGCAAAACATCTGCACTTTGGTCCCCATTGAACTGTGGACCTCTGACATGGCTACGAGAGGGAGAGTAACACTTGACGGTCAATTTTGATTTTTTACAAACTTGAACAATCACAGATCACCAATCACAAACTGTAAGACAATTTTGTGTGGCACAACATTTATGCACCAACAGAAAAACAGGCGTAATTTGATATTTGTAAAGTTTAGGTCGACTAATGCAAAAATAGTCTGTCTCTACAGACACAGAAAATTCATTCCAATGCCCCCCCCACCCCGATTTAGGGTAATGGACCCAGTTTTCATGTCAGTTTTTACTTTGTGACATGCACCCTCCTCATCCCTAAAACAAACATGACCCTGTTTTATGATTTCTTACCAGTTACACCTACAGTACACAGTACACCCTTGTTTCCTGTAAAATAAGGCTGGATGCTCCTCTCTACAGGAGACTAACTTAACATTTGTTGGAATCTTTTTATTTATACAGCTCCGATAAGAAAATGACCAGTATACCTCGGAGAACTCATTCAGTCCTCAGATGGTTTCAGACAGGTGATAGATTGATTGATTGGTGGAAAGAGAAGGACAGGAAGTGCAGCATCAGACATGTAACTAAGGAGGCATGGGGTATGGTAATAAGAGTGGGTGCCAGGTGAAAGGTGGGGGGAGTGCGAACCTGTAGATAAACATTATGAGAAAAAGAGAGAGGAAAGGACTTCATCTTAATCTAATAGCCTTGTGTCTTGCTGGCCAGTGCTACTGATTGATCCAGCATTTCCAATTACTTAAAAAGGCATAAAGCACATGACGAGCCCACGGTCCAATACACAGACTGCTCCACCAATTCCCAGACGAACAGCTCAAACTCATTCCCTCTTTATAGCTGTTGAGATCAGGACTTTTTCAGATTGGGCAGGGACACAAAAAGGTTCACGAGGAGATTGAATCAGATCCCTTATTTTACATTTGACCACTCTCCTGAGCCGCTGCACTTTCATACCACGAGTGCCTTCCAGGTCTAAGCAATATAAAGCAGGTTTCATTAAACACTGCAGGTTAGTAGATTAGACATCAGAACAGGTTATTAGTTCTATTCAGACCATTTAAACACACACACTAATGCGCTACAGTGGATAGTGTGTTCAGTGTTACTGCCAAGTAAAAACAACAAATCACTGCACACTGAGCAAATAGAGCTTTTTTTTTTTTTTTTTTTAATCTGTTTGTCTATAAGAGAGATACAGGGTCAAAAACAAGAAGAGGGAGGAACATTCTCATTTCCTAACCTTTTAATGTGCTGTCATTTCTATCCATTGAAAAATAGTGATATTGCCAATTTGTGTTGGGAAAAAATATTGACACAGCAATAGATCATCATCCTGACTCATATTCTAAAAAAAAACATTTATATTTTGTTTTCAATGTGCAAAGTTGACTCATCGTGTCACTACTCCTCACATGGTGGCACTTACGAAATGAATGAGAGTGACGCAAACAGAAGTTGACAGCGGGATTAAAGAAGAAGAAGAAGAAGACAGTCAGATGGCGGTGAGAAAGAAGTTAAGAGATGAAATCAATCAATCCTGTAATCAACCCTTTGGGAGGGCTTTTTTTTTTAATAGGATATAATGCTGTATATCATTTCACGATTGTCTTGTACTTTATGGATAATCACAGAATGGTTGTATCCGGTGATTGCAGATTTGTATTGCCCAAATATAAAAACAAGAAGTGACCCTGCTAACTGAGTTTAACATGTTAATGATGGGTTTAAAATCTGTTTTAGTCAATTACCCATCACTCAGAGGCTGAACACTGCAGGCACTTCTCCACTACATGAGGTTTTCTTCCATCTATCAGCCATTAACTGGCCTTACAGCTCCCCTCTCTGATCTATCTTTTATGACCTCTGTTGCTTCCTCCCTTCACCACTTACCTCTCTCATGCCGGTGGAAGCACAGAGGCACTCTGAAGCTTTACAGGGTGAGACACACTTCAGGTTTTTCTCTATAAACGTGACACTACTTCTACTGTAACAGACAAAATTGGCCACATAGATTTTGGATGCTTCTCTGGGCTTTAAACACCCCCCCCCCCACCACCACCACCACCACCATCGCTCTTACCGTCAGTCAGCTCTGAGCCAAACACCACAGCCTTGGCGTTGGAGATAGTGACACAGTGGACCAAGGCCTCCAGTCTTAAATTGAAGTTGATGAGAGCGGCCTCTACTCCGATCTTGGCCATGCCCAGCCACAGGCCCACATACTGGGACCTGTTCTCCATGAAAAGGGCTACCACATCGCCCTCCTGAGGACAGAAAATAGGGCAGCTATTACCACTTTGACCACAGATGGTGGTTTCATTCAGAAACAAAAATGTATTCCTCTGAAGCCTCTTCCAAGGAATATTCCAGAAATCACAAAGCCCTGATTCTTCAAACATTTTGTTTTCTATACATACCCTGAAACCCCGTTCCAGCAGCATGTTGGCCACTCTGTTGGAGTACTCATCCAGCTGTCTGAAGGTCCATCTCTCTCCGGTTCCCTCGAAGATCAGCGCTGTTTTGTCCCCGTGGCGACGCACCGTTTCGGCGAAGATCTTGGGAATGGTGTTCTTCTCTTTGAGGTGGCGTCTGACGTTCATCTTCACCCGCAACAACACAAACGCAGCACTGAAGGGGCAAAAGAAATATCATTAAGAGGGGGGAATGAAGCGCCTTTAGCTTTAGTGGTTATGTCGCACGCCTTGTGTACAGAGGCTATAATCCTTGTTGCAGCGGCCATGGGTTTGAATCCGACCTCTGCCCTTTGCTGCATGCCATCCCTCATTCTCTCCTCTTTTAATTTCCTGTCTCTCTTTTGTAAGGATCGTAAAAAAGACAAAATGCCCTTTGGTGTAACAGCAAAACAGCCTTATCATAACAAACATTTGCTAAGCTACGTTTGTTGCTGCAAGCCATTTTCCAAGACAAACACAGATGTAGGTTGACTTGTTGGTTATTTTATTTGAACTATTATCATTCAACAAGATGACTTCTATCGTTCTAACACTCATCTCAGTTCTTATCTGATGAAGACTTTCATATTGTAGTGACGTGAAACGGTGGAAACGAGTCACTTCCTGTGCACGGTGGAAATCAAACATAACACTTTGGAAAAATTGTCAGGGATTCAAATGTAAAAAAAACCACGAGGACTGTCACTCAAAGTATTATATTCTGAAGTTCATCTCTCGCTAACCAGCTCCTTAAGTCATCTCTGTCCTGTGTAAAATGTAACCTTTATATCCATAAACATTATGACAGATGGCGGGGTCGGATCCAAAAGGGCAGAGTCTGCCTAGATGGCAGGATGTTACTTGACTATTTAGCTTTATGGTTTCAAGGTACAGATAGTGGGCACTCTCCTGAGCGGTGTATAATCACTGAAGAATCATAAAAACCTGTGAGCCTTTTCACTTCAGCGCTTTAATGATGAGATTCTATCATCACAGAGGGGATTAACTCTCTGATTAACTGTTGTCATTTTATAAGTGCAGATAGATACAAGAAGATCAAATGAAGTTTTTTTTTCTGTTGCAACATGAACTCTACACTTAAATACAAGATTATTTCTTATCTTCCTGACTTGATGTTGGTAAAGGTACAAAGAGATGTTATCGACCTCCATAATTTAACTTGCTGGTTTGTTCATTGGCTTTGATGAGCAGGCAACAAACCGTACCATTAAGAAAAGAATTACTATTTACCGCCAATTCTTATAAACATAGATGCTTTCTGCTACTAAACCACCCAGTGACAATCACTGGTGTTCACAGGGGGGGAGAAAATGTTTATTCTAGAGAGTGGCCGAGATTACAAAGGCATTAAGATGTGAACCACAGTGTGAATAACAGAGTCTAGTCCCAGCGAATCACACAAAAGGATTTTTATGAGTCACTGTGGAAAAGGCATGCTCAGACAGGGTCAGATGGAGTGAATCTTTAACCTAAAATCCTTCAATTATAGGCTTTTTTTTTTTTTTTTTTTTTTTTTAAATGTCGACCTTTGACACCATCTTTCCTAAACAGTGTGACACAGTAAAGTGCATATGACAACCACTTCAGTCCCTGTGGGGGTTTATTTATAGAGAGGTCATGCAAGCTTGTGTTTTACAATTTCCCGTTTTATCTCGAGATATCGAGGAAGAAGAGGAAGTTAAACACAAACCAATTACCATGGTAACCCCCAACTGTAAATATTGGCTTAAGGTGAGACGGTGAAAAAAAAAGGAGTCCTTCCCCCAACCTCTCTATTGTCCTTTGTCTGAAATATTTCAGGTTTTTTTTTAAACATGAACAACTGGAATAAGCAGTCGTGTTGTTTACTGAGCCTGTGGAGGCTTCTGCTCTGTGTTTCCAAGTCAGAGACGACACTCTGAGAGGGTAAAGGTGTGGAACATGTTTCTTGCACATGCTCCTCCAATGTACAAAAGGTGAACTCAGAGTCAAGATAAATATAATGACTGATGTGTTATTGAGATGAACTGCTGATGTCCTGAAGTGTGGTGTCATTTGAAGGTTGTGAATTCTGAGTTGATGCATGCTTTTTAATAATTAACTTAGACAGCATTAAAGTGTATCTCTATGTATCATTATCAACATGTTATCATACTGTACATCAGTCAGTCAAGAGGTTATAAATGATAACTTTGACTCATAGCCCAGACCTGTCTACATTTATGTCTTTGTAAATGTGCGACAGTTTAATTACATACAGAATTAATTTCATGTCCACTACTTTACAGGAGCTAAGTATTCAACGTTAATTTCGTTTCATAATTTAGGTCTTGTTTTCAGCAACTTCCAACTACTTTCAGATACTTTTACAATCACAATGCCTGCACTCCGACAGAGACGCACTTTCTGTGGCCGGGCTGTGTATTCCTTTGCATTTGATGTAATAATGGGACTTGTAGCTTCTCTCCTGTCTATAATGAACAGACACTGCGGAGCAATCGTACATTTCAAAACATACAAAGTATTTGAACTGTCAAATAAAAAAGGCAGCGCTATGGGACTGCTATGGGAGCCACATTTCAAATACCGTTTAAATCTTCCATGTTGACACTCTAAATGTAGCTCAACGTCACCACTTTACCCTCATTGTTTGCTTTCAAGCCCAATAATCTGAGAGCCAGAAACCTACAGAATATTTGTCATTGTCAAAATTCTTACTGGCTGCACTGTTTGCACTTTGGCTGTGGCTCCCTCTAAACAGCAGGCAGTAAGTCATGATCTGACTGGTTGCAATGTAGCTACTGCGACTAAATACATTTGCTTGTAAAACATTAAAATCCCATGGCTTTCTCAATAACCCCAGAACAACACGAACACATACAGGACATCCCAGCACTTACTGTAAGTCTCTGCCGACTGTTTTGGCAAATATCTGCAGGAAGCTCCATCCTCCACTTCCCAGGTAGAAAATAGAGACGGCCGGGAGAACCTGGTACCAAGGCAAGCCCACCAGCAGCCTCAGCACGAACAGCAGGGCCGTGCAACACGCTAGACGCATCATCCTGAAAGAATGCACACACGTATAAATAGATACAGATAAAAGCTTGAGACCGCTGCGACTAATCACACATATTTCCTACCGAAGAAATCGTCTCTAGTGGAGAAAATAAGTCATCTTAAAACTTACTTCTATCAGATACTCTTCAAGCAAACCACTTAAACAGCTGTCTACTATCGTTCTGCGCACACTGTAACCCTCACTCTGTGACACTGCCAGACTGCTAGAATTCAGGTCAGAGGTTACATTTGTGAAACAAGTTATAAACTGGTTGTGTGAAATCAGGTCAGGGGTCACAAGCACTATATTTGATCTCATATGGACTGAGTTGTGAAAACATAGGGATCCCTTGTTATTTCTCTTACAGTTATAATAAAAGGTTTTAGAGTATTTGAAAAAAAAAAAAATAATCGTCCATAGTGACAAGTGAGAGCAGCAGAGGACAGCTTGTGTTGACATTGGTGCTCAGTTGCCACCAGAGAGCAGCTGGGAAGATGATCCTAAAGCAGGCTAAGGGATACATGACTGCTATTATCTATTCATTAGCCCGGGTACAAAACACTGCAGGGTCTGCTATTTCTGTTTATCACTTTGGAATTTGTGTTTTATGTGAGTAGGCTCACACTTCTTATTTATGGTCTGCCTCTTTTTTTGCATGTGGCTCTAAGTTGTAAATGAAGTCAATATGCTGCTATTTCAAACATGGACCAAACATGACAGCCGGTCGTGAACGATTAAATTAGGCCCGAATGATCGACATGACGGGTTAAAAATACACTGAGAAGTCTCTGGCCATTTCAGAGCAAGAAGAGAAGAAGAAAAAAAAAAAAAAAAGCTTCATCACTCTGCTGCTTGCTGCTACACCCGGAAATTTAAGAGGCGCGTAGCATCATGTTGCGGTAATGGAGGAGAAATGACAGGCTTGGCTTCGCCCCTCTTTAGCCGTGTGCCATGTGCGCCTCAAGATGGGCCTTGCCCCCGGTTTGAAGCGGTGTCCTAACGGGCTAACCTGATGTAGGTTACCGATGTTGCAGACGCTCCTTGGGAAGCAGGATGCGCAGTGCATTGCGCGCATCGGCTTAGCGAGGAAGCGGATGGACACGGTGTGACAGCAGCAGAAGCCTTTTAGGATGAAGAGGCATGCTTGCTGAACACGCACGTCCACGTTCACGCAGGCTAAATTACCCTTCATGCAACTGAGGGAGGGTGGGGGCTGTCTGATATTAAAGTGTCGGGCCACATCTTGAGTCCTAAACAGTGGGGTCAATCTTTCACAGGGCGGACAGAGGACAATAGAGTCGTAACCGGGGCTCCGTTCCCTTTTCCCTCCTGGCTAATCTTATCTGGTGGAGAGAGGAGCATCGCGGGGGCGCTCAGTCATCTCGGGGTGATCTGTTTTTTTTTTTTTTTTTTACATACCTTGCACCTGGCTCACAGCGTTTTTTACAGCATCTAGATGCGCAGAAACACCCAAGACGTGAAAGGTGGTTATGGTGCGATTCCGCCGCCTTGATCGGCTTAGGGTAGCCTGGTCGCCTGGTCGCCCCCCCCTCCACCTCCCTCCGCTCCTCGCCGCCGCTCGCTTGGCTCAACAGAAACGCACACACGGCACCGGGATCCCCTCCTGTTGTTAATACCACAACGAGCTGCTCCTCTCTCCTCTCCTCTCCTCTCCTCTCCTCTCCAGCGGCTCCGGGCGTCAATTCCGCCCGGCTGCGTGTGTCGACTTTGACCCCGCGATCATCATCCGTCCATTGTCACACTCGCTGATATCATTTCTGGGTTCATTGTAGCCGATAAGCTCGCCTAGCAAAGCGTAATTCAAATGACCTTATAATTTTCTTAGCTGCGCCCGCCTACTGCCGTCAGCGTCCCATCAGTGCATCAGGAATAAGAGCCGACGAGCAGGTCGCTGAGCCAATCAGAGAGGGCGATTTTTGTAAAACATCCCATCCGGCATGGGCGGGGTTTGCGGCACTGCTGAAGAGGAAATGCGGTGTGGCTCTGCCTGCTGCTTTTCTCTCTCTCTCTCTCGCTCTCTCTCTCTCTCTCTCTCTCTCTCTCTCTCTCAGACAGCAGCGACGCGCAGCAGTTTCCACCCGGTTCTAACAGGAGCCTGATGCTGAGCCGTGTGGCCAAAGATGAACCCTGCCTCTGCGCATACAGTCCGCCTCAACACGACCACGCACATCTAGTCAGTCACACACACACACACACACACACACACACACACACACACACACACACACACACACACACACACACAAGTGGACCTCTCATTGCTATTGAAGGAGCGATTAATAAGGAAGAACAGGGTGTCAAATAACAGCCGGTGTTCACCAACAAAACTACTGTTTATTCATTTATAATCTGCAGGTTTTTCTGACAGTAGGCTACATTTAGGCCTCACTTTGTAATGATGCAGAAGTAACTCAAACATGCTTCAATATGTGAACTGAATAGGCTCCACAGATAGTAAGTGAGTTACCTATAGGCCTATGCCAAATCAACTTTTGCACAAACAAGGTAGGCTGACACCTCGCTATGGTCCTTTTGTCATTTGTCTTTGCTGATTCCTGCAAAGTTGTAGGCCTCCATAAAGAGTGCTGAAGCGCATAATGACAGCTTAGAGTTTGACATTTTACACAGTGGTCCTCACAGTGTGTCATGAAGCGTATTGCATAATGAAGATAAAAAAAAACAAACAAACACTGTAAACAACAGTGTGGGGTTAAGAACGGTTAAGCGACACCCCCCACACCCCCCAGGGGCCGATACAGCTCAAATACTTGGGAAACACTTGTTTGGTTTATGCTTTTTCTGGTTTTCCAAGTGTCCTGTGCATGTTTAGTAAAATATTCTACATGTAAACTATGTATGCTTAAACAACACCTTGACAAACATTTGTCACCTGTTTCACCTACATGTATCCTTACTGTTTGTGAGATATCGAAGATTAAAGGTCAGGATTAAGAACATAGGATGAGCTTTGTCCTGTCATTGAGATAAAAGTGCCCATACACCTGATCAAACCCAGTACTACATGAGTGCACAGATGTCCACTAACACGAGTCTACAGAGCGTATAGGCTGTGAAGCTACTCTGGAGTTATCAGTACAGGAGAAGACACTTTAGTTTTCAGACAGATAACGGCACACCCAGTGTTTTATGACAACACCACTCTGCGTTTTCTGCTAAGTAAGTAAAGCTCAGTTATCTTTTCTATCCATATACCTTATATTACAGAGATGCATTCAGGACTTTTTCAAATGAAGTAAGCCAGTATTCAAACCTCCTTTGTAGTTACACTTGTACATGGCCCAGTGGGGACACACAGGAAACTGTGAAGGAGTGTGCCAGTTGCTTAATATCCTCTAAGCCATCAAAAAGATTTTTTAAGAAGTGGCTGGGCTAAACGTGACCTGACATGACCTATTTTTTATTTACTTTCACATTATACTAAACGTGTGATATTAATAGCAGAAAGTGAAAGTCATACACTGATCAAGTCCAGTTCAACTCTTGAAGCTTTTAGTACAATTCATTGTCAACTTTTACAAGTTTTAGTGGATGTAGAGATAATTAAAGTGGAAACATGATGTCCGTGGTGCTCTGAGTACCTTATTTATGAAATATTATTTTCAGAATACAAAGAATCTTATATAGGCTACCATACACACATTTTTACACTCAAGCATTCCCTCTTCCCAACCCAATGTGTACACCATTTTTCACTCCATTAACAGAAGCTTAAAGCTGCAAGAGTCACAATAGCATTCAATGTCTTGGACATCCACCTTTACTTCAACACAATTTTTTTGTGCCACAGCTAAAATTTCTCTCTGTCTTGCTTCTTTACCCCCTTCGGCCTGTAAAACCAATCTCACGGCTTTATTTGCATACATCTTTTGCGAGTCCTTGTTTTCTTTTCAGTCATCAAGTTCCAGACCAAAGTGGCTGTAGAGATCTCGTGTGGTGGTCCCCCTCAGAGCAGCTGCAAAACATAGCAAAGTGAGGGTGAGGGACCTCTAGTAGATTACATTAGAGTCAACTCCCCCTGTTCTATTTTTTAAACAATCCCAGAAAACACTGAACAGACAAAGATCACAGTGCCAGAGAAATGAATCACTTTAAACAGAAGGTATGTACATGCTGAAACGAGCATACACAGCACCTTTAACATGCTAAGTGTTCGCCTGCAGAGAGTCATTTACTGTATATAGCAGATTAAACTATCAGATGAACCTTTACATTTATTGTGCCCATAAAACCATAATTTACTATATATCTTTCTATGGGACAAATAAGCCACACAAGTAAGATCTGCTTTCTTTTAATAGTTTTTATAGTAGTTTTCATAGTTTTGATATGGCTTTGTCAATCAGCCATGTGTATGTGCCTGGTGGACAACAAACAAGAATCAACGAAGCAGCATCCTCTAGGGATGAGAAATGTAGTCAACATCCATCCATTATCCATCATTGCACTACGGTCACTTTATTTATCTCATTTTAACTTTACAGTTATATTGTATATATTAGTTCTGTTGTTCCATTATTCACCATGCACCTTAATAACTTATCATTTAGTATTTGCCTACTTGCACATAGCTCTGTATATATATATATTTATTTCTCGTTTACTGCACTAGTTCTGTTTACATCTGGTCACTACTGCACATAGTTATGGTTACATCTGTTTACATCTGTTAGTCCGATCACTGTCCACTTATATCTACTCCTTTATATTTTGTATTTTTAAGTTAAGTTTAAGCTTTAAGTTGTATTTAAATTGACACTTTATATTTCGGTTACAATGTTTTGTCTACTTGCACTGTTGTTAATTTACTGCTCTGTGTGCCTTTGAATTGCCCCCTGGGGACAAATATTTTTTTTTTTTTAAATTGAATTGAATTGAAACATTGAACTTCTAAAAAACTGCAGTTCCTGAACTGGCCACTTGAGGGCAGCTCCAAAAATGAGTCAATCCTCCGAGTTAATATGCTGAAATTTATAGCAGAAATAACAAAAAGTTTACAGCCTTGTCAAGAAACATATTTTAACTAATTTCTCTGTTCACAAGACTTGTTTAAGTTTCATCAACACTTGAAGTTTTGCAATAAAGGGTCATCAGTGCTTTAGAGACAGGGGGGATGCAACTATAGGTGTCTGCTCGGTGTTACCTCCTCAGCTAATCGAGTCACTGAACTTTACGTCTAGGCCATGCTTGTGTTGTTGGTTCCCTTTGAGGGTTTTTTCATGCAAACACTTGTCAAATAATAAGGTTCTTCCTCGACTTCAGGGCCCGTATTCACAAACATTCTGAGAATCCTCTCGGAGAGTTTCTAACTTAGCTTAAAAAAGGATATTTAGCCTAGGAGTGATTTAGGAGGACATTAAATTTTATCTTAGTAAAGCGGTGTGGTTGACCCTGTTGCTTCAGAAGCTGTGATTGGTTAATCCCCCAAAATTGAGAAAAAAGTCAATCACAGAATCTAGTCAGACATATACATATATACATACATATATACATACATACATATACATATATATATATATATATATACATATATATATATATATATATATATATATGTAAATATAAACTGCAAAAGGCAGTTGACAAAGCGATGGCGGTCACTGCAGTGGCTGTGCTCATTAATTACTCACAGGCTCTGGACTAGATTATTGTAACAGTAACATTACTATTGTAAAGGAACTGTCCTTTCACAAGTTCCCATATCCTTTCCTTATTTTTTATACAATTTGATGCTTTGCTATGCTAATTTTGGACATATGTGTCAAAATTATATTTATACAGGTAAAAGCTTTTAAGAAATCCAGGAATGCTAATGTTTATTTTACATAGGAGAATTTGTCAGGAGCAATTAACGATTATCACAATAACTTTAATCATGCATGGATGACAAACTCTTTTATAAAAATACTAAAACACTGTAGTGTAAAATAATGTTTAAGGGGTGATAGTTTTACAGACTTAACAGGAAAAGAAGGATCTTTTAAACAGATGTGACAATGACCTTAACAGACTGACTGACAGACAGACAGACAGACAGACAGACAGACATGGTGAGAGAGAAAGGGACAGTTGTCTTAAGAGGGTACTGCAGGGCATCTCTTCTTGTCTTCTCTCTCTCTCTCTCTCTCTCTCAAGCCTGCCCCCCCCATCTCCTCCCTCTCAGAATATGCACATACAGTACAACAGCAACTCAGTGTTTAAGTGTAACCTCTTTGTGGAAGTGTGAGTGAGAGAGAGAAAGAGAGGATGATAGCCAGTTTGTATATGCATGCATCTGCATGACAGACAAGATATTGTACTGTGTGTGTGTGTGTGTGTGTGTGTGTGTGTGTGTGTGTGATGTGAAAGAGTGCTATTGTGTCAGAGGGGAAACGCCACGTCCATTCACTAAGAGGGCATTATCATCCTGACTGTCCACTGTACTGAGAGAGGGTAATTTAAAGGGATAGCAAGCTTTTAACCCCCAATACATTTAGAATGAAAAAAGAGAAGATGTTTAAAATTTACATTTAAGAATTCAAGGACCTGATTTACGTTGTTTTATTTTAAACACCGCACATGTGAGCATGGAAATGACAAAGTAGGTAAAAAGTCTTATTTGTTGTGACACTCACAGACCATAATGTGACTCGGCTGTGATTCACCCAAGATCCCCCCCCCCCCAACAGTGTAAAATATGTGAACTTCTCCAGATTTACGTAACCTCATGCAGTTGCAGCACATCCACACATAGGAATATTAAAAGTACTAAGAAGAACAATACTCGGCCACTGATTCCTCACAAGTAAGGTTTTTCAAAGGTCCAACTAGGGACACGAGTTGGAAATTAGCAATAGCTATATAATCTTTATGCAGCACTTCAGTTTCATGCATTGTATTGAAACTAAATTAAATTGTATTGTCCCTATTAAAAAAAAATACACTCAAATTCAAATTCCAACAAAATGCATCATTTAATGTTTGATAAAAATGCTGATACATTATAGACAACATTAGACCGCATCTGATCATGGAAAATTCAGAGTCTTCTATTAGTTGGTGTCATCGAGCTGGCTCGAATAGGAGAGGAACTAAATTGGCATTTTAATTATATAATAAAGTGTTTATCTAAATCATTTACAGGCTCACCAGTACAATCTACAGGCAAACATTATCAGCCTTGTGTAAATAATGTCTAAGCCAGTCTTTAATAAAGAGCGGCCTGGGCATTTGATTCAGCATTAAGAGGGACATATTGTCTCTGCCACCCCCTGGTGGCTGGCCACAGAACAACCTTGATTAAAACCAATCCCAACATATTTAAATTACATGTTCAGAGAACGTATAGAGAATAAAGAATAAAACATCACGTTTAAGGAATAGATTCTTAGTCATTTTCTCCTTGAATTTAATGGTGCAAATCCCAATACCATGATATAAAAGACTTTGACAACAACAACCACCTCATAGGATTATGAACAGGTTGACGTGATTCCATATATTTATACGTCGTGAGTCACATAGGCAGAAATTATTTACTGCAAAATCTGAAAACCTGTGTGAAAACTGTACACCGAGATGGGATCCAGATTCATGTTACAAATCAGTAAGGATGACTACATCATGTAAAAACAGCATAGAAGCTTTTTTTTTTTTTTTTTAAACTGGTGATTTATTTCAGTGCAGTTCAGTTCATAATGAAATTCTTCAAATGTTGGAATGAGAATATAAGATTTACCAATGAATTAATGAATCTTAATATCTTTATGTATGAATGAATCTTAATATTCAGTTATAAAACAGGCCTCTTGGCCGACTGAATAATGCAACCCTGGGCTCCTTTTTTTAACAGATATTTTTCGGCCATTTTTGCCTTTATTAGATAGGACAGCTGAAGAGAAACCTGACATGTTGGGAGGGGGGGGGCTAGGGGATGACATCCAGCAAAGAACCAAGGTCAGAATCCAACCCATATCAACAAGGACTATATATCCTCTTTTACGACATAATCTCTAGTCTATCTGCGCCTCAACCCTGGGCTACTTTAATGAGTGAGTTAAAATGTATGAGTGAACATTTCTCTTACCAATGCGGCCAAGCAGTGACTGTCCAATGTCTTTGATGTCATTGTATTCATGCAGCTTATCAATATGATGCTCCAGCTCCTCTACTCTGTATCCCCTGGAGACGCACACAACACAACACAACACACAAAAGCAGATCCATGAAATCCTCTTCCCCAGGCACAAACAAAAAAAAGTTGATATCTTTCAAAGGGATTTTAACCATCAACACTTTTGATTCAAATTCCCTTAATGATAAACTTTAACTTTAACACATACCATCCCAGTGGGACCTCAAAGACAGAAATACAAACAGCTGTACTCACTCAGCCTCCAGCTGTGCGATCTCAGCGTCCAGCTGATCTTTTCTCTTCTTTAGCTCTACCACCTCCTCTGCAGGGCTTGCTTTAGCACTCTCACATACTTGAAGCTGTCAGGCGCAAAAACATACTGAGATGATAATGGAAAGCATATAAGGCACTACCAAAAAGATTTGTGTGACAGACAGGGCGAGGGGTTTACTTACAGGTGATTTGAAGTTGGAGTGTAATGGCTTAGACCTTGAGTATGGAGTTCTACGGAGAGAGGGCAGGCAAACTATTGTCAGTGACAGGATTTGCTTTCATAGATATAATAATTTTGAAGCTAACATGAAATGTGCCCAACATTATCTCTCCTAAAGAAATTCCAAATGGTCAAGAACAGCCATTATATATGTAATGTAAGTCTATCTGAGGTCTGCTTCCTCTTCATACCTTCTGACCTCCATCAGTCAGAAGAGTACAGGGACTTATAATCTTCGATCTCAGGACCTTTTCTTAGAGTTTTTGTCGGAAATATTCAGTTTTTTTTTTTTAACTTGAACAACTGGAATAAGCAGTCGTGCTGTTTACTGAGCCTGTGGAGGCTTCTGCTCTGTGTTTCCAAGTCAGAGACGACACTCTGAGAGGGTAAAGGCGTGGGAACATGTTTCTTGCACGTGCTCCTCCCATGTACAAAAAAAGTAAACTTTCAAAGTAAAATCAACTGGGGTTTAACTTTGCTACTCCCTTTACTTGGAAAGAATTACAAACGTAGTTAAACTTAATGAGCTTCTCTCGTTTTAATGATTTTAAGAGGATGTTAAATGACTTGGAGGCGGACACACCAGGCTGTACATGTTCTCCCTGATGTGCGTGTGGATGATATTGACAAACATTTGCTGTTCAGATTGGTTAATTGTGTCTTTTCATGTCTAACTCCGCTGTCACAAGGACAGATACAAGAAATCTTTCTTACCAAAGGCCATAACTCTGTACAACAGCTCACCATCATGATAACATCTGTCTCTCCATACTGTAATCTGTTCTGCACATGTTACATTTACAAATTATCCCTGCACTCATGTTCACTTCATTTGTCTGTCTACTCGCCGTTATATTGTATAGTTTCTGCTTATAATATGTCTACACTCATGCACTTCAACTTGTGTCAATACTGTCCATTTACTACTATGTTTTTGCACATTTACATTTAATCTTCCATATTTAATCTTCCTATTTAAGACTAGTAATGCTTAGTTAAATCCTGGTTGTATATATTCACATTCTTAGTTTTGATATCTTTTAGTACTTATTTACTTTGTAGTTAATATTATATTGTGTTTAGATTTGCTAACACTGTGTTTTTTACTCATTGTGTGTTTGGACAACCTGCTGCTGTAACGCCACAATTTCCCAGTTTGGGATCAATAAAGTAATTCTATTCTATTACACTGATGTATTTTTTGTATTAGTAGGCTATGTTTGGCTGCTCGTTGTTGTGTGAGGTTTACTCTGCTGGTGACAAAAACAAAAAAACAAGCTTTAAGAAGACAGAGATATTGTCAAAGGGGGGTCTTGAGTCGTTACCACAGCGAGAGAGGGGAACACGACTGCGTGGAGGTCCTGATAATGAAGGCAGATGCAGCCGCTGGCTAGTTAGCTCTGTAGTGTTTGGGATAAATGTCATTAAAATACCTTAGTGCGCTTTTCCTCAAGCCATTCCCCCCTGGAGTCGAAACTCGACCATCGTTCGGACTACAGAGTAGTCCTGTTTCACCTGAGTGGTCTGTGTTCATGCTTTTCTGGTGCATTCAGAGCACTTTACGAGAAGGAGGAAGTTTGCAATTCGCGGCGGATGAGAAACACACTCACACTGAAACCTGATTGGTTCTTAAAACCGAGAGGCGGGACTTAGAGACATTTGTCTTGTATGACGATTTTGACTCCTGACTCGTCTCATTGGTTTGAGCAAATGTCTGCAATGGTTTTACTTTACTGTTTTATACAATCAGGGAAATATGACCATGGGAGAAGGACTGTGTTTGAAAGAGTAGGCTTTTGAATGTGTATATTGACACAGTCTTTATAAAAGATTAAAAAACTGTTTTTTAAAAATGTTTTATTAACTTTTGACTCAGCCCAAAAACCAATTAGGCGACTAAAGACTGAAAGAAAAAGACTTCAAAGCATGGAATTAAAATGGTCTCTTGTCCTTAAATGTTAAACATGTAGTCTAAATTTGCAAATCATTCTGTAGGCCTAATTGGTCTACGTGAGCTGTGACAATTAGGCTACTTTAAATGCTACTGTCAAGGAAAATGAGACAGTTTACATGTCTAAATGCACAGTTATTAAGGATTATGGTCTTATTAAGTGGTTCTATTCTCGTCACAAGTGGAGCACCAGCTCAAAACTGATAACAGGAAATTATGAAGAGGAAATTTAGCAAATTTGACGCCAACATTTAAGCCTAAACTGTAAAATATATAGAATTGTTGACCTTTTCTATTGAGGGTTTTTATAAATTATGGTAACTGAAATGGTTTATCGAGAAGCTCAATATAGACACAAGGGTCTGTCTGTACAAAAAAACTATTCAATCTAGTACTTTCCAAACCCATGTTTGGTTGAAATCTTATGACACCACCAGATGGCAACAGAACACTATTTAAGTAGATTTTTCTTCCTTTCTGTCCCTTTAACATCAATGTTAATTCCATATCACATCACTCACACAGACCCTCTCCTTCTCCTTCTCTGACTGGAACAACCCACACACTTGTTGACAGAGATTCATTTTGGATAGGCCCACTGAGGGAGCAATGGGGTGACATATAATTGCTCATCTTACCTGAGGCTATCAGAACTGCTCACCAAACCCCTTGGACTGGCTCAAATCCACCCGCCCTCTAATTATAAATCAATGATGGATTAACCAAGCAAAAGGTCACATTCCATCGATAAAGAAAAAAAACACATACACAAACACACACACACATTGTTTTAAATTGGAACTAGCATGGTTGACTGGGTAAACACTAAAGGAAAAGCAAAAAAAAAAAAATATGATTAAGACACACAGAGACAGCATGTGGTACAAAAATAGATGGGTTCATAGAAAATAGAAAAGTGAGAGAAAATGTGTATCCAGTGGAGTTTATATTGGTGTGTGGAGAACATAAAATCAAGTCCATTCTGCTTTATGTCCACAGGATTCATTGGTTATTTATTAGTTGTTATACAGAGACAGAGAGAGGTGGGGAATGAAAAATTCAGACAGGAGGCATGGCCTGTCTCCTTTTAGAAATCGAAAGATTACACACACTGGGCGGTAATGGCTCCTGCATGCGGTCATGTGTGTGTGTGTGTCTGTGACTGTGTGTGTGTTTGTGTGTATGTGTGGGTGTCTGTGTGTGTGTGTGTGTATGTGTGTGTGTGTGTGTGTGTGTGTGTGAGAGAGAGAGAGAGAGAGAGAGGGAGGGAGTAATTTGTGGAAGATGGCTCGTTCTCCACATCTGACACATATCTGTGTTTAGTGTGTGTGTGTGTGTGTGTGATTGAGTGTTACCCTATCAGCTGTTCTTATCTGAATAGCTGCTGTGTATCTTCTTGTACAAATAAAGTTAATTGAGGACACAAAGTCACATAATTTGTAGGAGACAGAACAAAACTTCCTGCAGTATGAACAGTGACAGGGATGTTTATTAAATGTCACAGAAAACCTTGTTACTTTTAATGTGAGCAAGAGATATTTTTGTCTTTAGTCTGGAGAGCTTTTTCCTATCGCATATTGTGAGTTTTATTTTTTCAATTGGAGTAATTTCCATCTTGGAGGTAAGGGGTTTCATGTTTGCCAACATAAAGGAACACGCATTAGAAAGGATTGTTCTGTTGAATTCAGAACATGCTATCGTTTCAAAAAGTGATGGCAGTCTTTGTTTATGCTAACCCTAATTAGAGCCATATGGATGGGTGTATGATTCGACGCTTGCGAGCTTTAGGCCCTTTTAATGGCAGACATTTTGACTTATGCTTGTAGGAAAAGGTGGTGATACTAATAACATGAGTAATGTGTCTTTATGTGTCGTAATGTGTCTTTTTTCACAGTAAGTCATGTCAGTGTGACAGTGAGTCAGCATGCACAACCTGAGACTGGAGCAGCTAAATGGAATTCAGCCCTGATAATTTATACCAGCAAATATTGTTATTTATATTTTATAACCTACTTGTGTCACAGGATTGACTTTGTTTTTTTCATGTTATTGTCTTGAATGTCACTATAGTTTGTCGTTATTTCACCAGTAGAAGAAAAATGAATTCTGCCCATATTAGGATAATTATTTTTTACATTAGTTATTTTCCTAAAGAGGTATGAAAAGAGCACATTTTGTTGTTGTAAGCGCTACATTAGTGTCAATTCTGACTTCACATGTTACATGTTCACTGTTTTTCTAGAATCAGAATTCTTTAAAGCTCCTGTGTTATGCCTTCAGTTTGCATTGATTTTGGCGCCCGCCTGTGGACAGAGCTGTACCTCTTACCTCTTCACTAAACTTGTTCTTTAAACATTTGTGTAGTGTTTTCTGATCAAAAGTCTTATGCAGTCCATTGTGTCTTTCATTTTCAATCATTTCCTGGAAAATTTTCAAAAAGGCTTCTTTCGCCTTCCCAGCAGCGGTGATAACGAACATCACTGATGGTTTTGTTTGATTCTGAAGGTGAGAATGATTATCATGTTGCAGAAGTACAAGAGACACACAGCTGGAGCTACACACACACACACACACACACACACACACACACACACACACACACACACACACACACACACACACACACACACAGACGTCTTCCCAGCATTCTACATATGTTACTAACTTAGATGGCAGATCAAGGTGGAAACTACTTTGCCCACAATTCCGCCTCTTCATCGCAACTGAGACGCAACAGGGGAGTAAGTATCCTGCCTTGAATAGCAATGTCCAAGAGCCATTTACTTAAGGTCGGCATATGTTCTTTTTTTGTGCAAAGTCCAGTCAGTTTAGATTTTATTTGGACAACTAGTTTGTTTTATCTACATTCATTGCCTTGGACTTTTTCCCTGCATAAGTAAGTCCAAGTCCTTTTCTCTTGTCATAGTTTCACACAATCGTTTTTTGCACAAAGAACTTACACTGAAAGAAACAGTGGAAAAACACATTTCCTCGTTCCATGTAAGAAAGCTGTTTTTCAGATTCATTGACCACCACAGATATGATGGCAGAAATCTCTGAATAAAATATCTCCGAACTTCAGGAAATGAAATCCAGACAATCTATTTCTCGTCCACTGTTGACAATGAAACAAAAGTTGAAAGGTGGTGTGGAATACAGATAAGGAGTAGAGTTATTTGAAAGAAGGGCATATGAGGGAGGAGGTGGAAGAGGAGAAAATGATGCATAAGGAAAATACAGCAGGAGAGGACTTTGTAAAGCTGGACAGGCGGATGAAACAGCAGAGCAAAAAGAGGAGAGGAGGAGAAAGGATAGGGAGCTCAGGCTTGTAATGCTATTGGAGAGCCTTGTATGTATCATGTCCATAATTCATGGAATCCCAGCAGCTCTTCTGTACTGCATCTAAATTCAACTGTTGGAGAGTTATGGCCAGGGACTATAAAGTTTAAACACACATACAGTACACACACACACACTGTAATACTAAAGAGTTGGAGGGGGGATAGATGAACCAGAAGAGAGAGAGAGAGAGAGAGAGCATGGCTACAGGATGAGGGTTAGATGATTCAAAGCATGTCATAAAACATCGATACACCTCCAAATGCCGCTCTGCTTACACTGGAGGCGATAATGCCACTAAATAATTCACAATGGCTGCAGAAGGGCTCATTCATACGAATTCAGTACAGACACTCATAAACATACAAAAACGACTGTAAAATTATACACATACCATTAACAATCCGTGTCTATCTTTGATATACACCCAATTTTGGAGGTTTGGCTGCATCATCTGTCAGATGGAAAGATTAGTGTCTATCTTTAGCCAAGTCAGACTAGCATCCAGAGCCTGTGTGAAGGACTTTCAGGCAGAGAGAAGCTGATAGATTGTTAGCCTTATGAGGCAGACTCTGCTGAGTCGGACAAAGTCAGACATGATGGAAGGTTACTGTCACAAACCTCCAACCTCACTTTTTACAACAACATCTCAATCATATCAGTGTGGTTTTTTTTTTTAGACTAAATGTTATTGATGCTTTTTCCTCCGATGGAGCGAGGCAAGCGGTTTCTAAAAAGCTCCTGAGCTCAGCTACAGCATGCTAAACATGGTCTAGCTCTACAAAGAAGTCGTCTGAGTATCATTACATGCAAATGATGTTGTCCGAGAACTGCTGCTGCTAGTGTGACATTAATTCCCTGTTTGTGTGCTTGCAATTTACATAGAATTAAAAAGGGGGTTTGAATGCACCACATCAAAGGGATCCATCATAATCTGTAAGGTTTTTTTTTTTTTTTTATTGTCTGAAGCAGTGCTGTTGTATTAATGCTATCACAAAATGGCTATACATGTCTGTGCCAGGGAGGCCTCGGTTTGATATAAGCTCCTCACCGCCTCCATCTGTCTGTGTGTTTTTGTGCTATTTCTCATTAATAAGCTCTGACTCATCCTTCTAATAACTACGACGATTTCCTCTCCAAAAATAGTTTTTTATTTGTGTTTCTATTGTTGGATAAGTTTGCTGACTGACTCACTCTATCGTCCGAGTTATGCTTCCCGTTTTGGCCTTTTAGCCTCCCTGCACGGATGACTTCTCATTGTCACTATCATCTGCGTGCCTCCTAGTGTCAGGTTGGGTCACTTAATCCCATTCAAAGATGTTTGCTGTCAGATCTCTTACCTTGTCGCCTCAGGTCTGACTGAATCCCTGTGCAAACAGAAGTTAGCGCTGTGGATAAAGGTTTTTCTCATGTGAGTGATCTTTTACAGTGTCTGTGTTTAACATAACAAGTAACATATTAAAGGAGCTTCACTGTATTCACGCTTTCAGAAATCTGTCCACCTGCAAGCTACTTTTGTCTGCCGCAAGGCAATGACTAGTTCTCCTGTGAGTCAAGCGATGAACAGATGCTAGCTTATTTAGCATCATTAACAACAATTAGCCAACATATGCACCACTCTATGCACCAGAACTAGGCTGCTGTTTTCTATCAAGGATTGCACAAATTCAATTTTCTTATAGAGACATCCGTACAATCCTGAGACGAAAAACAAATCTTTATTAAAAAATAATGCAGGATTCTCAGTCTCGACGGTGTTGTAGTGCTCTGACCAAAGCAAATATTTCAGCTATGATCTTTTTGAATTTGAGGGAGAGGATTGCTCAGTGAAGAAACCCCTCATCCCATTTAAGCCCCTATGCCCTACTGATAAGTTACATAACCTACCGTATGGCCCTGAGTTGCCATCACAACCAAAACAGCGTTGCCACCTTCAAAACCTAGTTCATAAACTAGCTGACATACCAACATCATATTACACTGAACAGCAAGCATTGCTGCAGGACAAGGCTGTTTGAGTTGAAAAATAGTATTAACTTAACTGAAATGTTGTTCCATGTTTACATGTAAAACTTTCTTTCACTTAAGTATGTGTTTCGCGTGACCACCGTCTCCAGCATTAGCTTAGCTTCGATACAAAAAAAACAATGTGGCATGCTAACTGATAAAAAAAGGCCGGACTAACTTTAAATCAAGCAGCCAAAATAGACAAGAGCTGTGGATTTCAACTACTGTTGGCCCAAGGAAGACACTAATGTAGAGGTGTAGGCTCATGTAACTGAAGTTTACATTTCACTTTTTTCCCCGTTTGGTTTTCAGAATTAATTTTGCAATTTGAAATACTTGAATGTAACTAAGTCCAATTCAAACCAAATCTCATGAAAATTCACAGAAACTTACAATATTTGAGTTTTAGAGTAAAACTATTTTCAACACTCTCAAGCTGCTTAGTATAATGTACAAAAACCCTAAGTTACATAGTGAGAAGGCGCTTGTGGATTTGGGATCCCAGGCACTTCAATATCCAGAGGCTTCACTTTTTAAACATAAATGCGATACCTGATTTCTATCAGGTATATCTCCTGTAAATGTCTCTTTGAGTCATGACTGTCTACAATTAGTGAGAAGCCCGAGTCCCGCCATCTGTACTGTTGTTGGAGCTGTGTTTACATCATCTTTACATGGCGGGGATGGCCCTGTGTATAAAGCTGTTTTAGTCAAGCTCTATAGAAAAGAAGAATAACATACTCACTGCTTATTTGTTTGTCACGTAAGTGTGTTTAGATCAGAGTCATTCTGTGTCAATTTATGTGCAATGTGAAGCTATGAATTAACTGAAGTGTGCTAACATTAGCCTGCTAACACAACAATGAAGGCCACAGGCAATTGCGGCTTGAGCTGAGGACATTTTTGGCTTAATGGTGCTTAATTATGGTGCGTTCTAATTCATCCTCTCCACTCGCGTTGGCACTCCTTAGTGCCAACGCGAGTGGAGAGGGGTTGGAGGTGCTGGAGGAGAGCGGAGGCGTCACTAACAGCAGTTTGTTTTGGTTTAATGCTGGTGCTCAAGGCATCTACTGAATCAAAAAGTCGCACATTCTTCCTTTAAAAGCACTAATTGCAAAAATCTTTACACACCAATAATCAACTTTAATTGCCATTTAATTGGTTTGCCATTCAAAAACAATTGAATTTGAACCACAGCATCATTTTACTCTTTACGCTTGGTGAAAACAACAGAATAATCAAAAGAGATGAGACAGATTTTCACACCATTTTATTAGCAACAATGTGTCTGTTAGTTATACATTAGAAACAAGGACAGAAACATTTCTGCTGTACTGTACTGAGTCTGAAAAACCAGCTGGGTCGTAAAATAAAGCAAAGTTATTCAAATACTTCAGGGTTTAAGCAACACTGCATTTGAATATACACTTGTAATAATAGTAATACTCATAATATTAATAATTCTCTCATAAGTCTTTACGATGTTACATTTCTTGTGCATCTGTCACATTTTTCTTTAAAAAGTAAGAAAAAGCAAAGCATTGACAACTGTGTGTGTGTATGTGTGTGTGTGTGTGTGTGTGTGTATGTGTGTGTATCTGTGTGTGATTTGAGAGTTTGCAGGGAAGCACATGTCACAAGAGGGAAAATTATATCAGAATCACTCACTGTTTCACCCTTTGGGAAAATAAACGAGTATGATTGCCGATCAAACATCCACGGAGACGGAAAAAGAGAAGCGAAAGAGAAAGAGAGAAAGACCATCCATTTGAAGGGAAAAAGGAGTGGGGGCAGGTCCAATCAGCTTCAAGACCCTCACGCACCCGCCAGCATTTCTTCTTGAAATCAAGCATTAAGTAATTTCATTCATTAAGTGTGTGTCTTGGTCCAAACACTCCTCCTGTTAGAATATGAGCCCTCCAGTCATGCTGGTCAGCCGAGCGCAGGAAATAAAAAAGCATCCCAAGATGAACTCTCTAAGCAAATATTCCTCAGTCCAACGAGTTGAGAGTAGAGAGAGAGAGAGAGAGAGAGAGAGAGAGAGAGAGAGAGAGAGAGAAAGAGAGAGAGAGTGAGGTGTATGCTATGGCCTGTTAAATATTTATAAATGTTGCTTTAGAAGTGAAATTATCTTTAGCACACAAATCTATGTATCAACAAATTGGGGACAACACAAAGAATGCAGTGAAGAGTCCATAAAATGAAACTTCAGTGAGGAAATACAACGATATGACATTGTAAAGAGTTTCTGCACAGACTGTCGCCTGCAAATTCAGTCTGTGTTTAGTCATAAATCAGTAAAATGAACATTTACAAAATATCTCCAAACCCACTTTATGTTTGTCATTCTTAGCATCACCATAAATGTAAAAGTAACATGGCACACACATGAACTTATACAATCCCTTGACCCTTTACATTAAATGTTCAAAATGTTATTGCAACCCAAGAGTGGGTTCAGTATACGTACAATAGGGGTGACAGACTGTGTTAAACTGTATGGAATAAGAACTCCTGTATTACAATTTAAAGTTATACACACACACACACACACACACACACACACACACACACATGCAAGCACAGTCACACAATCTCACAAAAATGCAAGAACCTGTCCCCTTTGGCACCTAGCCTGCAAAAACACACAGAGGTCTTTTTCTGCAGAAGTGTAGTATGGTGTATTAGAGAAAGTAGCCTCCCGTCAAACTGAAGCCCTCTATGAAAGAATGTAGAAAACAAGAAGGGATTTCCATCTTCTGAGAGCCCTTTATTTCTAAATATCATGGCCTAAGTTAAGTTAAGTCTAAAATGTCTGTGGCTGGCAGCTTAAACACCACATTGCCCTCCTATTCTAGCGTTGTTCCACTGGCGGAGATTGATATTTTATAATCTCTCTAATCTGTGGACAGAGGAACAGACAGATCATCCCATCATGGGAGGGAGAACCACTGGACTTCATCTAATCATATTTTTGTGTAGCAGCTATGGCAGACAGAAAATCCCTGGACATGGCAGGAATTTGTCTAGCATTCAGGCCATGGGTAGAAGAGTTTAGATGAATCAGGACTGAACAAATCAAATCATAAAAGAAAAGCCATTCTTGAAGTTAAAAAAATAACTATTCAAAACAAGCCAAAGCAAGTAGTTCTTGTTTGGGTTAATTTACCATTGTTTTATACTTTAAACTTCATATTGGCCCAAGTGTAAGGTCCTGGACCTGAGCATAGTACCTTTAAAAATCCTGTCCTGAGAGCAATCTGAGTCCTTCATTCTGCAGGAGGTGACCAGTAGAACGAGACCAGACTGGATCAGACAACACTAGACTGGACTACACTGGTCAAGATGACAAAAAACAATCAGACTTAAGCCCAGTCCAGCCTAGGCCATCTCGTTTCATTGAAGAACAAACTTACACCAGCTAAACATCAGTGCTGATGCTACAGCTGCGTTGGAACATGTCCCTCATGGTGACTGACCGGGCCAGGTTTGGTTTCCGGTAGTTTGAAATGTTCACAGGCACAGGCAGCTCCAGGTCCTGCTGCTGTACGCTGCGGTAGCTGATCCGGTCTCCTCCATTCCTCAACCCATCTGGCTGATGGTGGATCTGCGGCTGAGGCGGCTGGAGGTAGAAAGGCATCTCATAGTGCGTACAAGACGGACAGAAGGTCTGTGAACGTGTTAGTTTCCGGGCCAGAGGGGGGGTGGAGAAAAGGGCCGGGCCATTTGGGATGGAGGAGGCGGCGGCTGTTGCCGCCACAATGTTGTGATTAGAGTGGACTGGTGGGAGGCGGGACGTAACAGCAAAGTCTGGCTCCTCCTCCTCCGACTCTGACTCTTCTTTTTTGCAGCAATAATACTGGAGGTGAGAGGAAGAAACAAAGGGATGAAAAGAAGGAGAATATTAGGGCACAATTAATGTCAGTTGTAAAATATCTGTGAGATGAGGGAGAGAGAAATCAATACAGTCATAAAGAGATAGCAAAAAACTCCAAAACCTCAATAATGTCGCCAACGGAAATTTTGCATTTCACATTTAAACTTGTTCCTTAACATAAAATTTCTATTTAATCATAGGGGGGACAAGTGTTTGGTGCGGGCCCCATGTGAAGAGGCTTCAGTCCTCGACAGTGGGCTCCTTTCCAGAATGTCGTTCCCCACTCTCTCTCTCCTGGGTTTCCGACTCTATCCACTGTCCTATCGCTAGAAAAAAGTCATAAAAACCCCCAAAATAATAACCATAGATCAATTTATGGAGTACAAAATGCTTTGCTTTCCATCTGATAATCAGGAGTTAACGTTAGCTGAGAAACCACTTTGTTAATTGGTGCTGCATTATGGTAATAAACCCCCTTACCCTAAAAACAATTCAATCAAATGCCATGAAAGCCTGACATAAGAAATCTAAATGAAATTTGAACATATATATATATTTATTAATGTTTTAGATTCTCAATTTTATGTACATCAACCCTACAATAGTTAAAAGATTTGGGTTTCCATGGGCTTTTACGAATCATTAGAGTACCGCAATTATCTGTGGTTTGCACGCTGTAGACTGAAAGCATGCATTCATTCAACAAACTTTAGCCCATAAACCTAATCACCAGCCCACATGACCCTAGATGTTCAAACACGTTGTCTTGGTGAAGTTGCACATGTTCTGCAGTGTGATGTCAAAAAGGTTTTGCCTCTCATGGTTTCTGTCTCCAATTTTTTTTTCAATTGAGCCAAAATCCCTCAACAATTACAGCACAAACAGTCTTGTAAACATAATCCACTTTTCAGTGGAGAATTTGTGGTTGCTATTTCTGGCACACAACATGTAGCTTTCAAATTAATTCACGGCATCAGGCCAACTAATATGAAGCCATAATACAGGGATTAGTTTTGATTCTGCCGTGAAAAAATAAGAATCTTAAGAAGTGCAATTAGCTCTAAGTAGAGAGGCTCATGCATTTTCCGCTGAAGACATCTTACCTTCGTTTCCAGTGGATCTCAGTAAATGGGCTGCATTAATTAAGATTTCACAATGGGAGCAATTTAGATTTAAGTTAAAGTTTTAGTTTCCTTCTTCAGTACATAAAGACACATTATGTGTTCAAACAGGTATACAGTAAATTGCCAGGTGTGTTTACAGACACCTTTCAAAGAGTCTGTTTAACATCATATCTCAAGTCCCTGGTTTTTAAGACATTAAAGGAAACATATTATACTCCTTGCCAACAAGTTTAAATAAGTCTCAGAGCTCCCCAAAACATATCTGTGAAGTTTCTTGCCAGAGAATCCACTCCAATCCTATATTTTGTCATGCCTAAAACCCCTCAATTTCAGCCCTGCTCAGAACTGGCTGTTTCTGACCACACCTCTCTGGAAGGTTTGGGCTTGGGTTTCGTGCACCATGCCCTATTGTTTACCATAAGAAGGCAGACTCAGAGGACAGAACAATCACCTAGATGTGGGAGTGTCACCCACCTGGGGGAGGGAGTACTACCCTTTGTGATGTCTTAAGAAAAACATAATTTGCATAACATTTGCATAATATAATAGATATTTATAAGTACATTTCTATCAGCCCATCATTACAGCCATAATATCACAACTGTAATTTTGTCCTGTTACTTGCGAACACTTTTAAGTGATATTGGTGACATTAAAACACAAATGCATATGAAAACATCTCTAGTACTGCTCTCCCATACTGACAATGTACTTCCCTGTATGCAGTATTCGGCAACTTTCAGCCATTATGATTTCTAACCTCATCTCCTTTTTTTCTTATACAAACTGTGGGCAACTGAATTTTGAAGACTAAAGTGTCAAGATAAACATATACCATGCATTTGATAAAAGAGAGCTCAGAATATCTTTAAGAAACAGTTATTCAGATAACTGAGTTACCATTATCATTCAGTACTGCTTTTTGTACATTTCTTAAACATTACAAGTAGAGTAATTATAGCAAAGTCCTTACAATAATGTGCCTTTGGAAATGAGTTCAGAATTCTTTGATGAAAATTAAGATTTTTTACATCCCTAGACTAAGCTATGGAGACGCAAATCTTCTGTGTATTAAATCTAAATAAATGACTCAGTCACAGATTTATAAATGAGGAGCTATGATAACAAGATTCATTTTTCTTAGATCTTGATACGAGGGATTAGAGTGTTCAATTTGGAAAATATAGCCTATCTCTGTATTAGAAGAAAAAAAACCTCAGTCAAAAAGGTGTGAAGATACCTTTTAATGTGGAATTTGCAGCAAAGTTTTAAAGCAATTGGCCCTGAGATGAGAGGAGTGTTTTTCAGTCTGAGCAGCTTCTCAGTCACATTGTTAATTCAAACTACTTATTCTGAGTGGGTGTAATGCATCGTGGTATCTAGGGTTCACGGTGAGGGCATTTAGATCTTCTATCATCTTGTTACATTCATACAGCTTGTACAGCTAAACAAGATAAAATTGTGTTAGATGTGGATAAATCACAGCAAAAGTTTAACGTTTTGGAAAATCTGATTTCTTGCCAAGAGTTAGATGAAATGGTTGATCCCACAATAACATTTGTCAGGTAAAAACAAGCCAAAAGCCAGCAGTATGTTAGCTTAGCATGAAATTGAGGGGGGAAATTGTCAGACTAGGACCTCTAAATCCCTCTTACTAACATTTGATAACTAAATCAAATTATTACATGACTTAGCAGTTGCTAGGCAGCCAGGAGAGACTGCAGGAAATAATTTCGTTGTGGTCAATAAATGGCATAGCCATAACATTACCAGTGCCTAACCATCGTATAATCATAAAAGAAACAGAGTAATGTTAGTTAGTTTGTTTTTTTGGGTTGGATAAAAAAAGGAGATAAAAGATGTTAAGCTTTATCCAATCTGACAGCTAGCTTAGCCTTAGGTCAAGCTAAACCAAGTATGCCTAATTAAATGCACAGATATGAGAGCAGTGTCAATCCTCTACTCAAATTATATTCATACCATCATTGGTTCTTATCATAGCTTTGAGTCACATAACAAGCGAGGAGGCCTGGTGGGCAAAAAGAGCTTAGAAAAGTAGCGTCTATCATGGAACACTTTGTGGCGCTGCAGCACAGGCTTTTTCTTTTTCAACCTTTTTAAAACGATGCATGTCACCTGACAACTAAAGTAAAACAGAGATATCAAGATAACCTTAAAAAAATTACCTTTTTAAGCCCATGGAAAAGACACAATTGAGTTTTAGCTTTATTATCTTAACTGAAATGTTAGCCATACTATTAGCATTGAACTAGGGATGGCAGTGCCGACAGTTGGTTCACCACTTTTCTCAGTAACTATTTGACCAATAAAATTAGGTCAGTAATTTATTAAACCCTCTGAATGAATTGTAATGACTTTGGCTATCACAAGTTCAAACTGCCAACTGGTCCTTAACTTTGGCAAATAATATTTTCCACGAAGCTAATGACATTCCCACCTCAGTTTTACTTTGTGTTTGGGGCTAGTTAGCGAGTGTTGGTATGCTAAAGCACTAAACTTAGTAAAGATGGTGAAAATGTTAACCCACTTGCTAAATTGAAATCAGCATGTAAGCATTTTGATTGTGTGCTCAAAGCACACAACCAAAGGATGGAATTATTTGATCTTGGTGTTAAATGCATCAGCATGTTCCAAAGAAGTGCTAAATGTTGGTCATAGTCTAGAAACCTTGTTGAAGCCTTCATTTTCCTCTTGAATGCAAGACCATATAATTACCGGTAATTGATACACTGATTTAAGTTATATTTTTCAAACTATCTGACACCCTCCTACAACTACCAATTAAGTGCTATAATTAGGGACATCAATTTCCTCCCAGCTCTTTCAGAGAAAATGATATGAACCGTGGTCTCACCTGCAGCCTACAGTAGCACAGTACAGCAATGATAAGGAGTAATATAACTGTAGCAAGGATTCCACCAGTGATGACCACTGTCCCGGCTGTCATTCGAAAGGCTCTCCATCAACACCCTGTAGAGAGCAAAAGAAGAGGGACAGAGAGAGAATGGGAGTGCGGAAGAGCAGAGGGAATAGGAGTGAGTCGAAGAAGAAACAGCAGAGGAGAAAGCGCACAATTCATCATCACAGCGGTTTCATTAAGTAGATTATAACTGTGTGTCATCTCACTGGTGCTTATTGAATTATCCAGCAGTTAGGAGACATGTAATAGAATCATTCTACAAGTGCTGCTCAAAATATAGATGAAATCTTGGGCTGGAACACGGCAGAAAGAAAAGAAGTGTGTGTGTGAGAGAGAGAGAGCAGCATGTTACAGCAGTGGAAACGATAGAAGAGCAGAGAGATAAATGGATGATGGGAGTGAGGAGAGCTGAAGTGACTGAGCAGGTGAGAGAAACAAAGATGGAGTGAGCAGTGAATAGATTTGGAGGGAGTGGGAGAAAGAGGTCAAGATGAGCTGGGAAACAGGCAGAGAAGGGGATTTGATGAATGGATATGAAACAGTGATATAAAATGATGAAGGGGATAAAGAAGAAAGGGCGAAAGGCGGAAAACAAACATGTGGAGCATGAAAATGAAGAAAAGTGGACTGGTCAAGTGATATTGTCATGATTGTGTATTGCAAACACACGGTTGAATGAAAGTCAAACACGTTTTTATGCATGCACCCAGGACTCATGAATCTCTAATCCCAGAGACTTTTGTTCAAGCCCAATGGTCCAAAAACTACAAAAAAAAAAGAAAAGAAAACAGAACTCAAGAGAAATCCAAGGCCATGGTTTCCCAAAGTCACAATGAAACAGCATTTCAAGAGCAATGCTTCCTTAGGCAGATGCATAACTTACTCTTCTCAAGAAACAGGGACCATTTCAAAGTAATACACTTCGGGAATATCAGTTAAAGAAAAGACAAAAACATACCTTTGTGGATATAACTACATGACACTTAAAATAAGTTAGTAAGGCGCACAAAAAATGAAAGAAACAGAGACAAAATAAAATCAAAGGAGAGAGAGAAAAACATTGACCTTCATAACATAAATCAGTTTAAATCCAGCTGGACAGCTTTGGCTGACCATTGACCTTACGATGAAAACAAATGCAGAAGTTGATACCCATATGCTCCAAGCTTAAAATAAATCTATCTAGGCAGACTGTATAATCAAACATGATTTACCGAATCCTCTTCTTTTTATGTAATTGCATTGTAAAAAAAAAAAAAACAACGGCTACATATTTAATTTGCATTCAACAGTAATTTATTTCAGGTTGTGTAACCTAGATTTTAGTGTGCTGTCATTGTGTAAGATTTCAAAAAGCCAAGCTACAAAAGATAATTTAGTCAATTTACTAAAGTGAGGCATTCTTTAACACTGGAAAAAAAAAAAAACCTTTAAAAGTGGTTTTGCATAACACATGCACACAGAACTGACTTGAGTTCAAGTCTACAGTACATCAAAAGAACATTTTGTGGCTGTGTGATTGACTGGAGACTGAACTGACCTCATTCAGGGTTTATTAGATCAATGCTTCCCTTTAATTACCTCTTTTCAGTCTCTACAGCAGCTGGATTACCGGAAGAAGCCTTGAGCCTGGAGGCTTTAAATATTCATTCTACTCTCCAAGGTAAATGTGTATTAATCATAAACATTTAAAGTGTCAAAATAATGTTTTTCTGTGCACTGTAAACAAAATAAAAAAGCATTTTGGTATGTGGTTGAGTTTGATTCACAGAGGACCCCCGACCTGAATCCTGTTTAAAAGCTAGCCCTGACCTCAATGGGTCACAATCACATCAGTATGGTGTATGCTCACGGGCTGTTTGTTACAGTTTTTGTTGCATGTGAAGGCACAGAAAGTAGCATCACACAAGTGAATCTTGGGAAGTGCTGTCCAGTGAAGAAAAAAACATCACTCACAGGAAAGGGCAAGCAGGATGAAGGCAACCTGCACAGTTATTCTACTACTTTGAGGCTCCAAAATTTTAATTGAAAAATGTCAGTTATGAGTTCTAATTTCTTTACCAATATCAAATGTATTTCTTGAAAATCTTGTGGTTGCTGAATGTGTCAGGTCTTTACTTTTCATTCAATTCTATTTATTTCTAATTTGATTTGGTAAGACATGATTATAAACTGCTACTCAAAATACATTCAGTCTCACTATCTTGGCACAGAGAAAAGTTGCCACCAAGTTCCCCGTTGGTAACATTCCTATAATAAAATTGGGATAACCCTGCAGACATTTGACAGATGTGGCAACAGACCTTTTTTCCCTTCATTACATCCACAATCTGGAAATGTCGTAGCACCACATATCACACTGCATTGTGGATAATTGCCTGAAACCAAAAATAGGCCAGCAGGCTTGTTGCTAAGCTATGACTCAATGGTGCGAGCCATTATCAGCAGCGAGCACACAGCAGTATAGGCACATGTTGTCAAGATCTTACTCAACTGTGACATAGACACACCCACAAATAGAAAACACTTAAAACTACAAAAAGCAGACCGCCAAATACATAAAAGGAACACTGTGACGCAAATGTAAAAGAAACACTATTTCCTGCTTCACCAGCATACGATTTGTATTGATTTGTTGCCGTTTCCAGTTCCATGTCCTGAAAACAAGGTTCTCCATCAACATCCCTCAGTCAGCTGACACTTCACTGTAAGACAGAATACTTTTTACCATGTGAGTGACAGCTATGACCTTCTTACCCTGAAACACCTCTTAACTATGTCACATTTCTAAGCCAATAACGTGTCCAAACTGCCAAAGCTTTTATTGTCATTTGTCTCCCTAGAAATGCTCTATACAGTTAGAATGGATCAGACTGTCTCTGCAGTGTACTATCTGCCCCGTCTACAAACACATCAGAGCCAGTCGCCCCTCAGGCTGGAATACAACTGGACACTAATCCAATCTGCAGGCCACACAGTCCACCAACCAAATCAATATGGTGGAAAACAAGGAGAGAGCGTTTTGGCCTTGAAGGCTTTTCAGTTCAACTGAAATGTGGTGCTTTGTGACATTTTTGTGTCACAAAAGGACGACATGGGATCCAAGAGTTAAGTTTGAACTCTCTGGGTTTGTCTGACATTGAGGAGAAGCTAAGAGTTAATTATGAACTACAGGCGGATAATGAAGGGCTTAAAGCTGCAGTAATCAATAAATTCACATGAACAACGGGACGGATGCGTGATGTGAGAGGGATCAGGCAAACCACAGATAATCATCATGCAACTCTGAAGTTTCCTTTCAGCTTTATTGAGTGTGTTAGCATCTTTCAGCTCACCTTTTTTTGGTTTTGTAGCTTAAAACTTAAAAATCTAAGATTACTCTTCTGCTCTTATCAGTGCAGTTTCTTAAGCTTCTCTGTGTGCCGCCTGCCCAGCTCCAAAATTCAGACAGACACAATTAGCAACTAGCTAGTGAGCATAGTGGAGCCTTCAGTCTGTGAGTGGAGCATTTAGCAGCTACAGTACAGGCTGGATGTTTCCCACTGGAGTTGGTAGAGACCAAAAAAAGAACTAAAAGTAATGATTACATGACACCCGTTGTATGTTAACCTGTCACTTTCTTTTATATGGATGTTAGAGAACAAATGTTCACGCCTCCAAAACAGCTTTATACAATGAAAACGATTTTATCAGTGTTGTGTTACCTTGTTATACTCTTCCTTAGTGACAATCACAGCAAAACAAATTTGCAAAAGGCTTAAACATTTATTTTAAATTCACAAGAGCTTAACAAATACAGCACATATGTATTTTCATATATCATTTGGACATTAATAATGTATCCTTTATAAAGTTTTCAATAAAATGTAGAATGTAGTAGGCATCTATCAGTTTCTTAGTGCAGAAAAATACAAGTTTTACTGTAAAATTTAAGTTGATAACATACTATATGTTTTTATAGTAATAATCTGCAATCCAGAAACCTGTGCCCTTATTATGAGCAGAAATGATGTGGTCTTACTGTCCTTTGTTTCTGCAGAAAATGGGTTCTATACTCCCTAACCTTTTGCCCTTTCTAATAAATGCAAATTCTAAATGCTTGCAAAAAAAACCCCACACATATTTGTTATGTATGGATAACAACATTAATGACACATTAAGCATGTTTAAGACGTCAGCAAAAAGAAAAGGAAGAAAAAAAAAAAAGGAGTTGAACACAAATGAGGCAGGAAAAGTCATTACTCCTGCTCACACACACACACTGGATTGCTAAACCAGCACACACATACACATGCATTAGTCACTGTACAAGAGAGGCAGGATGTGTGTTTCTCCTCAAGCTCCCTTAATCAGAACGGTGTGTGAGGGATGAACCACAGCAAGGCGATGGACAGCGTTAATTATTTAACCACACACACACACACACACGCATGCACGCACGCAACTCCGACTCTATTGTGATATAGCACCAGAGAAAGGCAAACATGTCTGCTCAGCTCCTTTCTGCTGGTATTCCTCCACAGGAATGACACGAGGTTAGCGGAAAAAAAAAGAAGAAGGAAAGCAGCGGGAACAATGCACACACAAACACCCAATGCAATAATTTTAGTACAAGCTAACATGCTCAGACAGTGGGCTTTGGAGTAAATTGCCACGCTTTGATGAAACATGGCAGGGATCACAGCAGAGGTCTTGCTAGGAATAATGGCTGTTGACAGGCTTTCAGCTGAATGGGGTGCATGCACACGGTAGGTGGCAGGTTCGAGAAATACACAAGAGACAATAACATGCCCTGAGAACAATGGAAAGAGCTCTGTTACAGCTGTACCTGTCAAAGGGAGAATTCAGTCGTATATTTGCAGCCATATACAAAGGCACAGAGCACAAACATACACAGGTCTCCAGGGAAATCATACAAGCCAAACAGTCCTAAAATCTATAAGAAGTTTGGTGAAGGATGTCCCTAACAGTGATTAAGTTTCTACACCAGAAGTCTGTTTCTACAATTTTAAGCTGTCCTCCATAACTGAGCTTGATTCTGTTCAAAAGA